AAATTTATGTATCAAATCAATGTATATGTTGTTTAACTATTATGTATATGAAAAAGTGAATTATTTTTTTTAACCAAAAAAAGGTAAATATTTATTTCTTTTCTTATATTTTTATTCTTCACTAATTACATTTTGAATTTTTTGTAATCTTTCATTATTTGTTTCATTTTAATATATTTTTCTTTGAGAAATATTTGTCTTTGAGTGTATAAGAATTTATATAGTTTTTGTTTTTTTAGTAAAATAATACTTTTGTATCACATTTGTTTTCTTTTTAATGATGTCATAAATATAATGAATTTACTGCTAGCCCGAATACAACTATTGTAATGATAGAAATTGGAAATTAATTAAAAAATTATATGTTAGTACTTGTTTATCATAACTTATTATGTATTTAATAAGTTAGAATGGTATAAATATTATGCATTTAATTTAGTTAGAATGTTTTTAAATCAAAACTCTAGTTTTGATTTATGTTGGAAAGGTAAAGTGTGTTAAAGAAAATTTAGAACAAGATAATTGTGAATAATAAAAAAAATTAGAAAAGAAAAGTGAAAAGATGAAAATAAAAATTTGTGAAAGAATAAATTTTATTTTTTAAAAAAAAGTTAGTTAATTATTTTTTTTAAACAAAAATTACTTTTGAAAAAGACCTAATCCAAATGGTTTTTTCATATTTTTAACTTGTAAAAGGGTTTTGAGAAATTCTTGTCCAAATGCATTATTTTCTAAAATTATTTTTTTAAATTTTGCTTCAAACAGACTTTTCTGAATAACTTTTCAAGACTCTCGTCCAAATGGAGCCATAGTCAACAAAATTTCATCGACTTATTTCTCGAGTCCATATATATAGACGATAAAGTCGACGAAATGCAAAATTTCTAATTTGGAACAAAGTTGAAGAAGATTCCGCCGAGTTAAGCGTTCGTCAATGTTATCGAGACGACTAAGTGGACCTAAAAGGGTGTCGGGTGTTTCGTCGATTTGGACAAAGTTTGCATTTGCCAAATGCAAGGTCTTCAGCAGTTGTTTTGGTCCAAATTTGAATAGAGTTCGCATTTGGCGAGCGCAAGGTCTTCAGCAATTGTTTGGATTATACATAGAAAACCAGTTCAGAAATTTATAATAGTAATGGAGTTGCTAGATGCCATTTTGCTGGTTCTGGCTTCATTTCTCCAGCATCTTCATATGGACATGAAGATGTTCATCATATGACCCCAAGAATCTAGTAGAAGGATCGATATCAATCAGGGACGACAGCCATCACTTGTCGAACATATGGGATTGGAAAAGCAATTGCATTTTGAGTTCGCATTAAAAAGAAAACAAAAAGGCTTCAATCAAGTAATAGTTGGGAGGAACCCTTTGAAGCTTGGATGCCACAAGTGATGAAATCATCACAGATATACATGGTGGAAATAAAGGTCGAAATAAAGTAATTAGAGTTATTCTTATTTATTAGTCTTGAAAATGAATATTGAAGGAGCCAGTGGTAGAGGGTTACTAGATCAGTTCTTCCTATCTAGTTTCCGCCATTTCCTCTGTACTCCATTTATAGTCACCCACATACATTATCACGATATTTTGACAACATTAATATCAGCTAGCTGCTGATATTTTATTAGGATAATTGGAAAAAAAAAATTAGTACAATTGTGGGAGAATCGTGTAAAAGATGACTTCTGAGATACGACGGTAAGCTTCTTGTGTGAGATGCAACCCATCCCAACTTATGTATCTACTTGGATTTGGACAAACAGTAGATCCCGATTTTCCACAGTTATATATGGTCCCGTCATAGTTGTATGGGCCACCGCTCCCACAGCAAGCTCTGAATAAATTTCCCGCGTCAAAACCTAGAGATACAAGTCTACAGTCTGTTAGGTTAAAATAATGATCGAGACTGTAACATATTATTGTTATTATTATTATAATAATTTATATTTTTCATGGGATGGATTCTCTATCATTTACTTTAAAAAGTACTTGTATGAATGCAAATGATGTTTAAGTAACGTACCAAGAGTGGGTGCCAGAGCAAGAACTAAAGTGAAAGCCCCGTAATTGTCAGCATAGACTATGGTCACATTCGGGTATTGCACCCTCAGAGAGTTCAGAGCATTTTGCAGATAGTTATTCTGATATATAATCAGCTCATTGATTCTCTTTGCACACCCAAATTGATCGAGTTCTTGAGAGTTTGGTGCATTGTTGTTAGAGATTAAGGTCAAACCAAATGGGAAGCAACCAATTGGAAAGTTTCCAGGAACCACTATTCGCCTCGCGCCGAGCCTTATTACGTCCTGCATTCATCTCATATAGCTAGCATTTTCATAATTGTTGAAATAATGCAAAGTGTGTATGGAAATCTTAATAAATAAAAAAAATTAATTAATTAATTAATGTGCATTTATAGATGAAAAGATGAATTGAAACATTGTAGTAATTTACTTGGGTGCCATTGACAATGGCTTCAGTGATGGATGGTACGTAAGTGCGGATCTCTTGAATGGATCTGCCCTGTTGTAATGGAAAGAAGATGTCATTTATTCCAATCGGACCAAGAAACACCACCGACCTGTTCAAGCATTCTGATATGGAAGAAATTACGGATCAAGTATATATGTAATTTTTTTTTTAGTATGACGATAAAGATAATGAATTCATTCAATGAAATAATTCAACGTGTTAATACCGGTTGGCGAGGAACAAATGGAGGACAGATATTGTGTAAACCAATTGATTTGGCCGGGGAGGGGAACCGCGATTGGTGGAATCACAATCCCTTTTTGCACAAAGAAGGGAAAATCAAGAGCGGTTGAGGCGGCAACAGCAAAATTCACTCCATTTACGAAGCATGCATTTCTATTCAGGTACGGATTAAGTAGAGGTAACCCAAAACGTATTGCTGAAACCAACCAAACAAAAAGAATATATATTGTCACAATTATTCAAATACTAGAACATTATACAAGAATCAAAGTATTCTAATTCTCTTAATAATATTGTTGTTTGGCGGGGGGGGGGAGGGGGGGGGGCGGGGGCGAACTTTTACCAATAAAATCGATGGTAATGAGGCCATCGGACCAACGGCCGGTAGGGGCGCCGATAGTTATACCATAAGGAAGACGGGTAGCAGGAAGCGTCGGACCAATGACGGGTCTTCTGAGTGAGTTACCGGTATCGGATAGTGAATCTCCCATTTGGTATATGGAGTCGAACGTGGGTGGATCCGAATTTACAAAAGACAAGTCGATGAGCATTAATACGCCCAAAATGGCAACATAGGAGCTAAAGATCATTGAACCCATTTATTTATTTATTTTTTAACTTGGCTTTTATCAAGTAATAATGCATATGTACGAAGAGTTGTGGTGGTATTTTTATAAGGAGAAGCTAGATTACGTACCTCAATTTTTTCCCACAACTCTTTTTGAAATTTAGTAATCAATGGAGTTGCTAAAGTTGCCTAAACGTAAGTCTATGGTAAGTAAGGGCCGATCAAGTTTGATCTGTGTCAATTTGGAAATGATTTTGATAGACTACCAATCCATGGATATGAACGGTAGGTGTGGCCTATATGGGGTTGACATTACTGTTTTGGCATTTTCTTAACCTTATAGATGTTGCATTCCCGCACCCCTGTTTTGTAACATCACTCTGTTGAGCTTCTAATGGGAATTTTGATGCGGTAACTCTGTGTTTAATCAGTACATGAATAAAATTTTGAGCTCAACAAAGGTCTCATATAACGAATTAATTCATTTAAAAGTGGTAAATAAAGCGTAACCCAAAATTATATTACTATAAACTCTTGTTAACTCACTAATTAATTGTCACAGTAGAATGGAACGTTTTAATTTAGTTTTCTCTTTTTAGGCTTTGCGTCCAATCTTTGTACCCAAAAAAAAAAAAGTTAGCATTGTAGCTTTATGTCGCTATCCAGGTGAGTGTTTCTTTCAGAGCTGTGGTTTTCTTTTCTTTTCTTTTTTTTGGTTCAAAAGGGAGTGCTAATCATTTAGATTACACAATTACATCTCTAGCGATCCTCACTCCCTAATACATCATGGTTTTGCCACCAAAGTACTTTTGGTGGTAGCGAATCCAGTCAGATAAAACCACCTAAATTCGTTCCTGCCAGAGATGCCAAAAAGTCGGCTACAAAATTAGCTTCCTTGTAAGTATGACTTCCTTCTACAACCAAAGTGCTCCTGTGGTTTTCTTTATAAAGTTGTTCTCACTATTTTTTCACAATATACGTGCTCTCACTATTTTACTATAAACATGTACTTTTGCTTTTCATATGAATGTGTTTTTGGAATGCTTAAAACCTACTTTTTTTCCTTTTTTTTTTCTTTCCCTAGATGTATGTTTTTTTTAACTCGGCTGTATTTTGAGACAAGTCATTATGCCTTCATAAATTAATCTAAGTTTCATGAGAAGGTACTCTTGACATTTTAGTGTTGGCTTTGAAATTTCCATAGTGTCTCAAATATTTTTATTATTTTGCAAGTAAATTGGATCAGTTCTTCCTATTTCCTATCATGTTTCCATCACTTCTTCGGTACTCCAATATTTATGCAGCAACCGAAGCCTAAAATCGCTAAAGGTGATCTGATTTGCTCGTGATTTTTTTGTCTCTTTTGTTAATCAATTGGCTCTAAGGGTTCCATCTTTGTAATCCATGGACTTGTGCTTTCTTTATGAAGGCAACGGGTTGGTAAATCAGGTTTCTCCTTAAGGAGTTTGAGTGGTTTACAAATTAAAACAAGGGCAAAAGAAGAAAGGCATTTCATCATTTAACCAAAGCTAATTTGAAAGTGCCGAAAGACCGATAGAGACGCTGAAAGTTCATCCCATAAATGTGGAACACACGTGAAAATTTGTTACACAAAGACAGATATATTATAGTCACCCACATTCATTATCATGATTTTTTGACTACATTAATATCAGCTAGCTAGTGGTATTTTATTTGGATATAATTGGAATAAAAATTACAGCAATTGTGGGAGAATCATGGAAATGAGGACTTCTGAGATTCGACGGTAAGCTTCTTGTGTGAGATGCAATCCATCCCAACTTATGTAACTACTTGGGTTTGGACAAACAGTGGATCCCGGTTTTCCGCAATTAAATAGAGTCCCATCGTAGTTATATGGGCCACCACTCCCGCAGCAAGCTTTGAATAAATTTGCCGTGTCAAAACCTGGACAGACAAGTCAATAGTTGGTTAGGCATAGAATAATGATAGAGACAATGAATTATTTATATATCAAACCGGGTCGATGAATTCACGATCGTTTACTTAATGGAATGATGTTTATCACGTACCAAGAATGGATGCACGAGAAAGAACTGAAATGAAAGCGCCGTAGTAGTCAGCATAGACTATGGTAACATTTGGGTATTGTACCCTCAGAGAGTTCAGAGCATTTTGGAGATAGTTATTTTGATATATAGCCAACTCATTGTAACTTCTTGCACACCCAAATTGATCCAACTGTTGCGGGTTTGTTGCATTGGTGTTGGCGATTAAGGTCAAAACAAATGGGAGGCAACCGATTGGAAAGTTTCCGGGAACCACTATTCGCCTCGCGCCAAGCCCTATTACGTCCTGCGTCCATATCGTACAATCCAAATTGGAGGAAATAACACAAAGTGTGTGATTTTAATTAATTAATGTGCACTTATAGATGAAAAGAAGATTTGAAACATAGTAATTCACTTTTATTCCGTTGACGATGGCTGCAATGATGGATGGTATGTAAGTGCGGATTTCTTGAAGGGATCTGCCCTGCTGCAATGGAAAGTTGATGTCATCTCCTCCAATCTCTCCCATAAACACCAGCGAATTCATTAGCCTCGTCAAGCATTCTGATATCGAAGTAACAGATGCAAGTATATAAAACTTTTTTCTTTTTTTTTTGCAGTAAGACAATTAAGATAGTAAATTCATCGAGTGAAATGATTCAATAAGTAACATACATGTTAAAGATGGAAAAAGAAAATACTCCTTCCGTCCCATAATTATTGTCCAGTTTGAGTTTTTTCATTTTCAATTCAAATTTTACTAAAAGTGGAATTTCAAATGGGACAATAATTATGGGACAGAGAGTACTAGATTAATTACCTGTTGGCGAGGAACTAATGGAGGAGAGGTATTGTCTAAGCCAATTGATTTGGCCGGGGAGAGGAGTTACGATAGGTGGAATTACAATCGCTTTGAGTAAAAAGAAGGGAAAATCAAGAGCGGTAGCGCCAGCATTAGCAAAATTCACTCCATTTACGAAGGATGCATTTCTATCCAGGTATGGATTAAGTAGCGGTAGCCCAAGATACGTTGCTGAAACACAATAACAAGTAACCGTCAAAAAAATAAAAAAAATAAAAAAAACTGTTACAATTATTCAATTACTACTATGTTATAAATAAATTAAGAATCAAAAGTATACTAAAATAATTTTTTCTAAAAAATATATTGTTGGTGAAGGAATTAATGGTGAAAAAGAAACTTACCGATAAAGTCAATGATGAGAAGACCATCGGACCAACGACCGGTGGGTCTGCCGATAGTTATACCATAAGGAGGACGCGCAGCAGGAAGTGTCGGACCAACAATGGGAACTCGGATTAAGTTGCCGGTATCGGCAAGTGAATCTCCTATTTGGTATATGGCGTCGAATTTGGGTGGATTCGAATTTGCAAAACGTAAATTGATGATGAGCATAAATAAGCCCAAAATGGCAACATAGTTGTAGAAGATCATCGAACCCATTCTTATAATTTTGGTTTTATATATCAGGTAATGTATATCTGTATACTACTGTTGTGGCGGTACTTATACAAGGAAAGAAGAGTACCTTAGTTAGCCCATTACACTTCTTTTTAGAATTCCTTGGAGTTGATAAAATTAGCCTAAACGTACGTATACGGTAAGTAAGCTAGCTGCTTCTTAGGTTAGGGCCGATCGAATTAAGAAAATTTCCATCTACGCATTCAATTTTGGGATCAAGTTTGATCTATGTGTCAAGTTCAAAACGGTTTTTGAGAAACTGACCAAAGAATGGATATGATCATATGAAGGGTAGTTATGGGGGTTTGACATTAGCTGTTTTGGCATTTTCTTTACCCTATAGCTACTGCATTTCCCACACCCCTAAAACATAAAATAAAATAAAATAAAAAAGAAGAAAAAAGAGCCTTAGATGGGAGGAGATGTTTAATCGCCCTACCCTTAGGCAACCCACCTACTGGCCGGAGAGCCGCCCCTGGGCCTTGAACCCCGGCCAACGTACGTGTTTTTCTTCATCATTAATGTGCGCAAAGGGGATGGAAGTCGCAGCCTTCGTCTCCAAGACTAATACTAATATTTGAATGGCTCGAAATTGTACTATCTTAAATAAAAATAAAAAATAAAAATTTTAGTGGTGTAATGAAATATTTCTAAGATATAACAAATTTTTCTCTATAAAGATTGCAGAGAACCGGAACTAACAAGTAACAAATATATATAGATTCAATATCTAGATGGGATTGATAGTAGAAGGTAAAAACACGAGAGAATTCATAATTTTGAAAGGCAAAATAGTTACTTTTTGTAGGAAAACTTGTGAGCTGTAAAGAGAAGGTTACCCTCCTTATGGCTTATAAAAATTAAAATCCGAAACTTGCATTTTCACTCCTAAAACCGAAAATTAAAACTTAGTTTCATTGATCTTTCGGTTTCCACTAGATTAAACAAAGTTGGATTTATTGTAATAAACACTTTAGAATTCAACACTTGAAACTTCCATATTCACTCCACTAAAAGCAACAGTTATTGGGTGCATACTTTGTGGATGACTCGATGTTGTTGTACGTTGAAGCTGCAGTTTAAGACTTTAAGTTGAGTCAATTTTCATGTTGTTGAAATCCCAGTTATTTGGGCCAAATAAATTAAAAAAGAAGCAGTTTCAAGCTGCTGAAATTCCAGAAAAACTAAGGGCTGCTTCTGCAGTTTCATGGTGCTTGCGCAAATTTGCATGTAAAGACAATTTAATGATCGATGTATGTTTTTTTTTTTTGTGTGTGTGAAGACAGAAATATTAATTAACTAGTAATCATTATTAAGGTTACAAAACGTTAATCCAAATTACATCTCACATCAATATCATTTCCAAATCATGCAAATCATGTAATTTTTTAAATTCTTTGGGATCGATGTATCATAATGCCTATAGTTGTACTAGTATAAGTTTGTCGAGGTCAGGCTAGTTTGGCTACTTACTATATACAATACTTGCAGGTTTCACTCCAATTATTAGGCGAACTTCTATGCCTAATTACAACTATCCAAATCTCCAAACATTGATTTATTTTATTGATCCAGAACAATGTAAATCCCAAGAAGATAGTCCATATTTAAATTTTCAGATTTTACTGAAAATAGTACAAATTGTAGACTTTCTTTTCGGGACAGAGGTATTATTTTCTTAAATGTAGGGAGTCTGATATAATTAACTTCTCAAAAAAAGAACCCATTATTCTCTTCCAAACAATGCAACTAATTATTATAATTTCTTCTGTCACATAATAATAATTCATATTACAATTTGTAAATTCTATAAATGGCAGAGTTAGGATTTAGTGATTGCGGGAGCAAGGTGGCAGAAAAAAAAATTTTGCATGTGCGAAAATACAGGAAAAAAATTTTCTACACTACATTTTCAAACTCCTCCTTCATAAAATTAAAAAAAAAAAAAATCCGGCGGGGGAAGACGACCATCATCACTACTAATCCCCCAAGTCTGCCAGAACCGCCGCCACTGTCTATTTTTTTAGTTTAACTTACAATTTCCTATGTGACGATTTATTTTTATATTTTTTATTTTACTTAGAGCATCCCCAGCTCAAGGTAATTGGCGCAGAAATACGTGCCAGTTACCTCTTTATGGTCTCTCTCCCATTGTGGAGAGGAGATAAATAAACTTACGTTGTTTCTGCATTTACTTTACTTTGGCAGAGTTAAAGTCAATTATAGTGGGCTACATCAATTAAAATTTATTGATTTTATTATTAAATGAAATAAATTTGGCAAAGTTAAAAAGTTGGGTCCAGCAGTTCCACTCATTTTCTAAGAACTCTATTGTGAGAAGGGATGAGATAAATGTAAATGCTAACTTGGCCAGTGGATGGGCCCTCATTTCTGTCAATTTTGGTAACAACATTGAGGTTGCTCTTAGAAGAGAGAGTTAATGATAGGATGGGCTATTCTTCCTTGGCCGACTCCCCTAGTACGTATAAGACGAAAGTTAAATTTTTACAGACTACAAAGCCCAAAAAATGTTGATACAGGCCTGTAATAAATAAATGTTCACACGGTCCAAGTATCCAACTGGTAAATTGTGCAATCAGTTGTTAGTTCACCTCAATGGACATCCATCTTCACTTCGTTTCCTTCGGAGATGGGATGACGTTAGGCTGGAGATAAGCAATACAACCTTTTCTCGTGTTAAACACCCATTGGAGGAAAAGGTTGATGCTGTGAAACGATATCAGAAGCTTGACACGCAGCGATACACGTGGAGGCGGCACAAGTATCCTGCTGAGTTGGATTTGGTACCATTGTGTGCTGACCAGTCAAATTATTGCTTGGGCCCACAATTATTCATTATGACCCAGAAAGCTGAGCCTGTGCATGCTAAGTATAGCCCAATTAGTTTTGGGCTTCTTCATGAGAATGATGACATGAGGATTAGTTGTGGGAATACTCTGAGCCCATCACACTTGGGTTTATTCAATGCAAAGCTGTAGATCCACCAGACTGGTCAAAGTACTGGCCAGGAAACACTAGTAATTGGAAAGGGTGTAGGCTCAAAGGAGCCTCAGGCAGGCGTCTCTCAGGCTGATTCACTATTTAACCAGAATGAAACCATGCAAAGTTTTGGTAATCACCAGAATCATTGTCAGCTTCATTGCAAGCCTGCCTCTCAAATCTAAGTCGATGGAGTCGTACCACATATGGCTCTTTGGACTCCAAGGTGGAACAAACTATGAAGATTCTACAAGAAAACCAGTTAATATGGGAGCAAAATTCGTCAGACAGAACTCAAGAAGATGAGGTGATGCATCTGAGGACAGAGGTTGAAGAACTCACGGCTTTTTAGGCAGAATATTAGAAACAAGAATCGAAGGTCGTTTGGCCCGTACATGGAGATCAGAACACAAAATTCTTCCATCAATGGGCCACAAAGAATAAAGGTAACAAATGGGTAACTGAACTGCAAGACCAAGATGGCTCCTGGAAGAGTGAATCAAAAGACTTACAGGCATTGATTCGAGGACATTTTGAAGCAATTTATTCTACCCCGGATATCCATCATGAGGATGACTCATCTGCAAATAGCTTGGAATCTCTTCTAAACTAAATTCGAACAAGATTAATAGACCTCCAAAAGAATCTGCTGGAGCAGCCGTATACAAGAGATGAGGTATGAACCGCGTTCAAGCAAATGTCACCGTGGAAATCTCCAGGTCCAGATGGGATTCTGGCTGGGTTTTAGCAAAAGTTTTGGCCAGATATCCAAGAAGAGGTTGCACCATGTTCTCACAGCATTGAAGACAAGGAAGTTCCCATTAGATTGGAATTAAACAACTATTGTGTTGATCCCAAAGGCCTATAAGCTTGTGTAACGTCAGTGATTTTAGGCCTATAAGCTTGTGTAACGTCAAGTACAAGGTTATAGCCAAAGTCAATCTCAATCGATTGAAGTCTGTGATGGAAGATCTTGTAGACGAACACCAGAACAGGTTTGTTCCTGGACGGAACATAAGTGAAAATTTTCTCATTGCTCACGAGCTTGTTCAACACATTCGTCGGAGGAAAGGAATGCATGGTCTAGCTGATGTGAAACTCGACATGAGTAAAGCATACGACCGAGTCTCTTGGGTATTCCTCCACGAGGTTCTACAAAGGATGAACTTTCCTTTGGCGCTGATAGAAATCATTATGTTTTGCATCAGATCGGTTTCCTTTAAGATTCACTTTAATGGGAATGACTCATTCAATCCAGCAATTCACTAAACATTACAGATAGAGAGTATTTCACTCCAGTGAGGGGGCTGCGACAAGGTTGTCCTTTGTCTCCATATTTATTTATACTATGCCAGCAAGTACTTTCAGCTACACTTAATGTTGAAACTGAGAAGGTTAAAGGGCTTGGGATCAAAATTGGAAGAAACACGCCATGGGTAAGTCATCTTATGTATGCTGACGATAGTTTTTTCTTCCTTGAATGCAAAACAGCCCCAATCAACGCTCTTTCAAAATTGATCAATCAATATGCAAAGTTCTCTGGTCAGCGTGTGAATTTTGGCAAGTCTTCCATATTGCTAAGTGTAAATACGTCATTGGAGTTGAAGCAGTACATTCACAACACTCTCAAGATCCCTTATGAGTTTGGGGCTACAAAGTACTTGGGAATGGATCTTGGCTTTACCCAACCAAAGAAGAAGATTTTTGAATCGTTAATTGGCAAGCTGCGTGTGAAATTGACTGGTTGGAAGACTAAGTCCCTCTCACTTGCTGGTCGCATAACATTGGCAAAGTTCACACTTTCATCCATGCTTATTTACCCAATAGGGGTTTTCAAGTTGCCTATTTTGATTCCGAACAAAATTGATCAAAATATTGCACATTTTATCTGGCTTAGAGACAGAGAAAATCATGGCATTCACTGGAGGGCTTGGAAAAAGGTCTGTGTGTCTATTTTTCGTGGTGGTCTGGGTTTATGTTCTGCAAAGGAATTAAATCAGTCCCTTCTTGCAAAGCATGCTTGGAAGGTCATGACTAAGCCAAATTCGCTCCTTGCAAAACTGATAAGTGGGAAATATTGTACTAGGGTTCGGTTTGAGGACTTCACACCAGCTGCAACTACCACTTGGGGACTGAGAGGACTCATTTGGGGAAGAAGCTTAATTGCTAGCAATACTCGATGGCATGTCATCTCTGGGAAAAGTATCAAGCTGACAAGCTCATCGAAAACTGGATTCCAGGACATGAAAACCCCATTCTCCATGATCCAACACTGGTGCAAAACGCAAATCTAAGGGTGATTGATTTGATTACGCCTACGGGTACGTGGAACTCATCACTCCAAAGGTCCATATTTCACGAAATTTTTTGATAAATGTTATCGAAAAATTATCATGAAATGTTAAACTCTCGCAATGATAAATATACATATTTTTTATAAAATATATTGTACCATTTTTTTTTAGTTCTGTTTGTACTTGGCCTTTTAAACAAAATGCATATTTTAGTTTAATTATTTTTTTAATTTTACAATACAATCTAAATTCTGTTGAATTATATTGTAATAATACATTAAAGTATACCAATAAAAAAATTTAATCTAGGCTAAATGTTTTATTTTTTGTGCAAAATTAGGTTTAGTTAAATAATCTTATTTTTTAGATTGAAAAAAATAGATTAAAAAATTAATATCATTACTGTTAAACTATATTATTAAAAAATTAATATATTTATGTAAATCAACCATGAGTTACGAATATGCATATCTATAAATTTGCACAATAGTGTTTTAAAAATAAATAATTTTTTTAAAAAAGATTATATAATATATTTTTATAGTTATGAGAAATAGTGAAAAGAAATAGAAAACAGAAAAAAAAAAGTGAAAAAAGACTGTTTAGTTATTTTTACAAATTTTTCGGGTCATTTTTTTAATTTTCAAAACTATTAGGGTATTTTTTGTAATTAAAACTAACAGAATTCCGTTAATTTAAACGGAAATTGGCAGATTGGACAAAATCGGCTAACGGTTGGATAGCTTAGGGTAATATTGGCTAGCCGAAAAAGAATAGGGTAAAATTGACAATGCATGTCAACCTTTGGGTACATCGGCCAATTTTTCCATGCTTGTAATGTTCAAGATAGAGATCTTCCACCTGTAGAGCCAGGAGAGATAAAAGCTTGGAAAAGACTTTGGAGAGCAATGGTGCTGCAGAAATACAAGGTATTAACCTTGCGAGTGCTTGCAAACGCGTTGCCTACTAAAAAGGCTTTACACAGGAGGGGTGTTCCGATTGAGGTTAGCTGTCCTAGATGTCATCAACACGAGGAGGATGTAAACCATCTTTTGTCTGAGTGTGACTACTCTAAGCGTCTATGGAACATGTCTCCTTTGGGGTTTGATTTCCATCAAGGATAGGGTCAATCCTTCAAGGTGTGGTTTTTGGCATGGATACAAGAGGCGCCTCTGGAAGAAGATCTAGTTCTCTCATTGCACGTTCTATGGCAAATTTGGATCGATAGAAACCAACAGGTTTGGCATGGTACCTCTCCGGATTTAGCACTGTCCTGGAAGCTCACTCTACCAGATCACCTCAACAGTCAGAAGCTCTTCTCTCGGATGCATCATACATGCTCTCCAGTGATGGCTCAACAACATACCAGCATGAATTTTGAAGCAGTAGTTGATGTGGATGGTTCGTATCACCCTCATAATTACAAAGCTTCTGCAGCGTGGAAGATAACAACTCTAGCAGGAGCCATCTTGCAGCTCAAAGCTAGGCGGATCAAGGCGCTCTCGCCATTACAGGCGGAGATATTGACGTGCATGCATGCTCTAACAGAAACACAGAATCTTGGGCTGCAGAGGATTCTTGTCAGAACAGATTGTAGCATTCTGGCGAACATGCAAGGTCAGGTCTCAACTCTCTCAATGGAAGCTCAACAACCAGCAGAGGACTTAGAACGCTTAAGGTCTACTTTTGAGTTGTGTGTCATTAGTAAAGTTAGGAGAGATGTTTTAGTTGATGTGCATAATCTTGCTTATGCACTTACCAGTTGTAACAACGAACAAGTTTAACTTTTAATGAAATAACTATGGTTATCTTTAAAAAAAAAAAAAACTTCGTTTCCTTCCCTTTCTTTCGATCACAGATATAGTCATGTTAGTAATCATAATTCGATCTTTTAGAATTCACAAATTAGAGGCATGGTTTGCAACACGGAAGAAAATGTTTGTGGCTATTTAATAGTAGTAGACTAGTAGTACTCACTCGGGTGTTGTATAAAAATAAATAAATACTAATAAATTTTAAAAATTGTACTATAAATAAAAACTTAATTTCTATAATTATTTTAGAACGAAGAGAATACTCACTTTGATCTACTACGACATTTCGTTAATTTTTCCATTGGACCTTTATATGATATTAACTTCAACTTTCAAAATACTTGTCCATATCCAAACCATTTTTTCAAAAATTATATCAAGACATATATACATATTGATGGAGCATGGACCAACCCGGTAGCCTACTAGACCAATTCACGCTCTCGATTACTTGTTGACTACCTCAATGGGTCAATTAAACTCTAAAAGAGACCCAAGTTTATGGGTATCTTGAGAATATGCCGCTCCAAGATGTCTATATATACACCTTCATATCGAAAAGGTTGAGGTACCTTTTTCTACTCCATTCTTTGTACGTACTGATGTGTTTTATGGCGACAGTGATTTCCTCTGATATATCTCTATGAAAGTTTTCGTATGAAAAAAATATTCATGATCGATTCTTTTGTATAAATCTCGTCGAATGATATCAAAATTAAATTATGTATAACATTTTTCTATGGATTTAATGATAAAGATATTTCACATGTTTAAATTTTGTTTTATATCTAATTTTTTTTAAAAAAATCGATATTTTATAAAATTATACACCCTTCGTCCCGAACAAACTGAACAAACTAAAATTTTTTTTAGATTTTTTTTTTGAAAAAATCAATATTTACAAAATATTATACTCCATCGATCCCGAACAAATTGAACAAACTCAATTTAACTATGCATTTTCTTTTTTAGTACAAATTGAACTAAAAATTAAAAATCTAAACCATCAATATTTTTTCTTAGTACAAACAAATTAAAATAAAAGTGAATCTAAACTCGTAATTTGTGTATAAAAGAATTTTCCAATACAAGTCAAATGGGATCAAACAATTTCTCTCTTTCCATACAGTCATACACAAACACATTATATTCTCTCAAGAGTCCAAGTCCTTCCATTCTCCTCCTCTGTCCCGCGCCTCACTCAACTTCTTGCGCCCGAAGCCACCGATTCTCTCAGCAAATTCTTGCCAAAACATCATCCACTACTTGTACGCATTCTTCTTCATTTACGGTCTCTAATGTTTTCTAGAATTCATTTTTGTTGTTGTTTGTTGTTTGTTGTTTTTTTTATTTTTTTAATTTTATTTTGAGACTTTGGGAATCAAATCGGAAAGAAAGGGAATGGTTAGCAGGCTAAGGTTGAATCTTAAGGGGTTTGGGAGCTAAATTGGAAGTTCTATGAGGTTAAAATTGAATCTTAGATGGTTTCGAGGTGATTGAGTGAATAATTTCTGTGGTGGTAATGGATTTCATTCATGTTGTATTCATTGGACTTCCGATTGATATTGAATTATTGAATACTGGTTAAAGAAACTAAATATAGGAATTTAGGAGCATTTGATGCATCTAGCTTGTTTACGTGAAATTTCTCGTTCTTTGAATGATGCTCTGTTTCTTTGGTCGGTTCAAATTCCATATTTGGTTGGTTTTTTGATTGGATATGGAATTGAATATGTTTGTTTCTAGTTTGGTGCTTGGTTGCTCTTAAAAAATTGGTGCCTATTCTGTAGAAAAAAATGGCAAGCGATATCACCAAACATCTCATGGATGCTGCATCCGAAGGTGAAGCTCAAGGAGAAGAAGTCACCTTGAGCAATTGAGAGGATACATGATTTCCCAGGGTGTCTCTTATCATTGGTTATTGAGCTCTCCAATGATACTAAGCCATTTATGTAAAACTGCTGGTACATTTCTGAAGTGGTCCATTGATGCAAAAGCTTTGGACAAAAGGGACCAATTCATGGACAAGTGGTTTAGGATTAATCCAGGCATGACATCTCAAATTAAAAATTTGCTTCTTACAACCCTGGGATGTACTGACGTGGGTGCAAGGGCAGTTGCCTCGCAATTGATTGCTGCAATTGCACAAGCAGAGAGTCCAGCGAACAAGTGGCCTGGACTCGGTGGTAGATTAGTTTCCAATATGAGAGCTGGGCGTGCATCCCCACAGGAAACATTTGATACTCTTGCTAATGTGGTTGGGAAGTTAGATTCTTATACATGGAGTAAAGATGAGGTCAACTTAATCTTCACTAAAGCTGTCAAGGTCATGAATGCTATCAAAGTTATGTATAATATTTTTTCATTGATTTAATGATAAAAATATTTCACACGCTTAAAATTTGTTTTAGATTTAATTTTAAAAAAAAACTCGACAATTTACAAAATTTATTCTCTCTCCGTCCCGATCAAATTGAACAAACTCAAATTTGTCTTAAATCTAACTTTTTTTAAAGAAAACTTGATATTTACAAAAGCTATATTCCCTTAGTCCCGAACAAATTGTACAAACTCGATTTAATTATTCATTTTTTTTAGCACAAACTAAACTAAAAGTGAAAACCAAAACTGGATAATAATTTTTTTATTACGAATTAAATTAAAAGTGAAAGCCTAAACTGGATAATGATTTTATGTCACGTGAGTATAAAAGACTTATCCCGTACTCGTCAAATCCGGTCAAACAATCTCTCTCTCTCCTTCCATACACACCTATATATTTATATATATTCTCAGAGTTCCTTCCTTTCATTCTCCTCGTCTCTCCAGCCTCACTCAGCCTTCTTGCGTCCGAAGCCACCAATCCTCTTCGCAAATTCTTGCTGAAAATCGCACACTACTCAAAATTGTATGCAGTCTTCATTTACAGTTCATATATAGTGTTGATTTTTGTTGTTTTTTAAAATTTGGGACTTCAAAATGAAATTAGAGAAAGAGAACATATAGCGGGCCAATGTTGAATCTTAAAGAGTTTGGGAGCTAAAGTGAAAGTTCTAGCAAGTTAAGATTGAATCTTAGATGGTTTTGTGGTGATTGAGTGAATAATTTATGTGATGGTGAATGATTCATTCATATGTTGTATTCGTTGGATTTCCAACTTAATCAATTTGATTTGATATTGACTACTGGTTCAAAAACCTAAATATAAGAATGTAGGAGTGTTTGATGCATCCATATTGTACATAACGTGAAATTTCTCCTTCGTGGAATGATGCTCTCCTTCTTGGGTCGATAATCAAGCTTCAAATTACACTTGCCTTAATTGTGATATATGTGTGTGTGTGTGTATATATATATATATATATATATATAAAATGTGAGTCCCTGGATATGGGGTTGAAGCTTGTTTGTTTCTAGTTGAGTGCTTGGTAATTGCTTATTCTTAAACAATTTGTGCTTATTCTGTAGGAAAAATGGCAGCTGATATCACCAGATATCTCATGGGTGTTGCATCCAGAAAAGGTAAAGTTCAAGGAGAAGCCTAGGAAGAAACAATTGCTCAAGGTGACTCTCTGATTCACTTTTCTTTTGCTTGTGGTTTGTTTGGAAAATTTTTTTTTCCTCTTGGCACTAGTAGTGCAACTTGGCAATTGTTAATTTGGTGCTCATCCAAGAGTCGAGTCAGTTGCAATATTAAGTAGACATGTTAGTATTGTTAATTTGTTCTTGTGATTCTATACAGTTTGCAATTCTCAAATGGTGGAGGGTTTATTCATTGTGAAATTTGAAGAACAAAACTTGTTTTAATATCAGTAATATACAGTAGAACTTTTTAAAATTAATAGTGTTGAAACCACCAAAATTTATTAATGTAGAGAATTATTAAATAATTGATAAATTAATAAATATTTAAAAGGATAAAATTGCCATTAGATATCTATTTTAAAAATTAGAATGTTTTAAGAATGAATAAATCTCTGTTGCTTTGCTTTCAATATCGATATAGGTAATTATATGCATATCGAATGACTGAAAGTCGTGAGAAATGGACTCATAAAGAACAATTTGATGGCACATCTTAATAAACAAAAATTACAATCATTTTATATTAAAAAATTTGGTATAAAATTATAACCTCAAGTATATTAGTCCTAATTAAAATGCAGCAATGTCATGATGATCTTCTTCAATTTTCCATTAATCCTCAACCTCAAGTATACATGGATGATGTATCCTTAGCCCTAGCTTAAGCAAAGTTTCCATAAGTATATATATGCATAGTTTCATACTTCTTCAATTTTTTAAATACCACTTTCAGTTTATTAAAGAACCAAGTGACCAACCAAACAAACTTACTGTACTTTATAATACCAATTCTTCTGCTTTTTTTCTTTAGTTGTGCTACAAAATAGGGTTTATAAGATTTGTATTGTCTAAAGATTTTAAACTAACATTGGCCTTTACTAAGATTGATAAACCGGAGACCAGAGTTGGCTTCCCTCGGAAAGCAACTCGGTTCCTTGGCACTCAAATCGGAGTTGGTCTTGTAACGGAAAAGTTAGGTGTAGGCGCCGCTTATAAAAAAAAAAACCATAAAGTTTTGTCATAAAACTTTTTTTCGCACCTAAGGCAATCTGAACCAGCACATCGAGGCCGTGATTGCCTCGGGCGCGAAAAAGTAGGCTGTTGTAGCAAGAAGGTTGGGAAGGAGGGGGGAAAGGGGGAGGGCAGGGGAGGTTTGAGTGGGGATAACTGGTTATTATTAGGTTAGATTTAGGTTTTCTTTCACATTTATGGAGGCTTATTGGCACTGCGGGGACGGCTGGAAATTGGTAAATATCTGATTCCTTCTCCCTTAGTTTCTTGAAAATTTGGATATTTGCTTGATTTTGCTTGAAAAATGGATATTTTCTTAAACGTTTTGACGTGGATTAATGAATTGGTTGAAGATTGGACTAGGAATTGTTGTCTCAGATTGTGAGGACTTGAGAAAAATTTAGAGATTCTGTATGATTTGGGTTAGTTCGTAGTATTTTGTCTAGTATGTGTTTTTTTCTTAGCATAGTGGCTTTAATCTATTATAAAGAGCATGACAATACATGAAGAGAATGCTTCTGCTATACCAGTAAAGGTGTGTGTTTGAGGTGATTGAGTGAATAATTTCTGTGGTGGTAAATGATTCATTCATGTGTTGTATTTGTTAGACTTCCGACTTAATCAATTTGATTTGATATTGACTACTGGTTCGAAAACCTAAATATAAGAACGTAGGAACGTTTGATACATTTATATTGTTAACGTGAAATTTCTCCTTCGTGGAATGATGCTCTGCTTCCTGGGTTGATAATCAAGCTTCAAATTCTATATTTACTTGCCTTAATTGTGATATATATATATATATATATATATATATATTAGCTTGAGTCCCTGGATATGGGGTTGAAGTCTGTTCGTTTCTAGTTGGGTGCTTGGTAATTACTAATTCTTAAATAATTTGTGCTTATTCTGTAAGAAAAATGGCAACTGACATCACCAAATATCTCATGAATGTTGCATCCGAAAAAGGTGAAGTTCAAGGAGAGTCCCAGGAAGAAACAATTGCTCAAGGTGACTCTCGGATTTACTTTTGGTTTGCTTGTGGTTTGTCTGGACAAATTCCTTTTCTTTTTTTTTTTTTCTGTTGGCACTAGTAGTGCAACTTGGCAACGGTTAATTTGGTAGTCATTTAAGAGTTGAGTCAGTTGCAATCTTAAAAAAGCATGACATGTTAGTATTGTTAATTTGTTCTTGTGATTCTATACAGTTTGGAATTCTTAAATGGTAGAGGGTTTATTCAATGTGAAATTTGAAAAACAAAACTTGTTTTAATCATCAGTAATGTACAGTAGAACTTCTTATCAAATTAATAGTGTTGGGACCACTAAAATTTATTAATTTAGAGAATTATTAAATAATGATAAATTAGTAAATTATTTATTTAGAAATTTTTCTTAAGAAAAAAAGAACCATTACTAAATTACCAGATTTTGTTTATCTTTACAATGCAAATCAAGAAAGCATCGAATTTTTCTCCTAAAATTCATATACAGTTCGTATCACCTTCAGGGACTAAAAAAAGTATGGATAGTTCATAATCTAATAAATATTTGTAAAATTATTGTTATTTTTCATTTTTGGTAAAGATTAATTTAGAGTATTGGGATCAGTAGATATGTAGGTAATTTTGCTCCCATTTTGTATTGGTCCTGAGTTGGGACGTGAAAAGATTATTAATTACTATAAGTTATTAATTTATAAATTTTTAATGTAGCGATGTTTTACTATAGACATTTTAATTTGTACTAGTTATATATATTTAAAAAGATATAATTGCCATTAGATATTTATTTTAACAATTAGAATGTTTTGAGAATGAATAAATCTCTGTTGCTTTTCTTTGAATATCGATATAGGCATTGATATGCATATCGAATGACTAAAAATTATGAGAAATGGAATTATAAAGAACAATTTGATGGCGCATCTTAAGAACTATTTGTTATATAAAAATGATTATATTATTTTAGTAAATCAAAACATTACAATCATTTTATATTAAAAAATTTGGTATAAAATTATTGCCTCAAGTATGTTAGTCCTACTTAAGATGTAGTAATATCATGATGATCTTCTTCATTTTTCCATTAACCCTCAACCTCAAGTATACATGCATGATGCATTCTTTGCTTAAGCAAGTATATAATATATATATATATATATATGCACATTCTTCAATTTTTTAAGGACAAAATGCATTTTTCGTCCCTCGGCTTTTGAGGGTAGTAAGATAGAATCACCATGTATTTTTAATTGACAAAAATAGTCCACTACAATATTTTTTTCATCAATTTTGATCTATTTAACAGAATTTTTACACATTTAACGGATTAACTCTTCTCCCCGTTAATTCTTCAGTTTTTAATATTTTTCCTGATTGTGGGACCCACAAACTTTGACCCAGCAAAAAAAATTATTTTTAATTTTTTAATTTTGAAAACAACTGCATTTCGTTCATAAAAAGGCTTTTTCTCTTTTTTTTAAAATTTTTGTCTTTCTTCTTTCGCTGTGGTTGAAACAAAAACTAAAGTCTTCCCCTTCAAATCCCCTTTCACCTCCGCCGTTCACCACTCCAACATTTTCCAACCACGAGAATACACAACCTTTTCCACACATATGTTCAATTCTTCCGTTGCTGTAAAATTTGGAAAATTTCAAATGCTCAATTAGAGATTTTCATCACCATGATTTCACTCCAAAGTCCTAACCCTAAAATAGTTGGTGGCTACCAATTAAGTGTTGAAGCCTTCAAGGGAGTATAGATGGACGAGAATTCTTGAGCCGCTGTGAGATTTGGCTGCGGCAGTTTTTTGCATTTGCTGTTACAAAAAAGTATTGTTTAGTTATTAGATTTCTTTGTGACGTGGGTTTGACGGCCTTGATGTGAAAACTAATTTTTGGTTAGAATTGTATGGGCTGTTAAGTTTAAAGTTTGTTTCTTGCTTGATTGGTCCTGAATTTTTACTTAAAACGTCCTATTTCTATGGAGGATTTCAGCGATGAAGGGTGGCTCCGATGGCCGATGGAGAATTTCAGAGATTAAGGTGGGGATCAATAGTTGAAGTGGAAGGGGATTGCTTTTCAGTTTTCATCGACGGAGTTAAGTGAACTCAGTAAAAATAAAATTTGTCCAGCCAATTTTGGTGGTGACGGAGGAGGTGGGGGGAGGTGGTGGTGGCGAGGGGTGGTGAGCCGCCTTTCCTTCTCAACTGGAACCCGTCGTTCCTTTGCTTAATTTTGGGGGGAGAAAAACCGATTTTCTCTCCCCAAATTTGATTTTCTTTTTTCCGATTCTGATTCAAGGCCAACTAAAAAAAAATTACTCCCTCCGTCTCATAGTTATTGTCCAGTTTTATTAAAATGAAAAATTTTATTTTTGGTCAAATTTAACTATATTTTACCTTAAACAACCGAATATACTCCTACATAAGTAATTGTTTAACTACTAAGATTTTATTGATAATGTTTTTTACTAAGGACAATGTGTAACTTAATTCATAAAAAGTCAAATTGGACAATAATTTTAGAATAAAATTTTTTGGGTAAAATGGACAATAATTATGGGACGGAGGGAATATAATTTTTATTTTGGTTTCTTTTTGAGTTTTTTTCAAAATTTAAAAGTAAAAATAAATTTTTTTTGCTGGGTCAGAGATTAAGGGCTCCACAATCAGGAAAAAATATTAAAAAAATAAAGAATTAACAGAGAGAAGATTCAATCCGTTAAATGTGTAAAAATTCTGTTAAATAGATCAAAATTGATAAAAAAATATTTTAAAAAACTATTTTTATCAATAAAAAATACATAGTAACTCTATCTTGCTACTTTCAAAATCTGGGGGACGAAAAGGGACCAACCAAACAAACATATTGTACTTTATAATTTTGCACAAACTCTTTCTTGGGTACAAAATGGGGTTTATAAGATTTGTAGTATTATCTAAAGATTTAGAAGTAACATTTCAAAATAACTTCGATAAATGAGCATAAGAGTTTGCCTAAAATTGATAAATGAACAAAACCGGACACCGGAGTTGGCTTCACTCGGGAAGCCACTCGGTTCATTTGCACCCAAACCGGAGTTGGCTTTACACGGGAAAAGTTAGGTGTAGGCGCCGCTTATAAAAAAAACCATAAAGTTTGGTAATAACGCCGCCGGAAAGGGTGAAAAAGAAGCAGACGGAAAAACAACTAACACCCGGCGCTGTTCTGAAATCCATGGAGTCAACTGTAGCAATGGCGGTATCACTTCATTCCATCAAAATCAAGTCCACTCCAAACCCATTTTCCCCATTCCCAATCTTCAAAACCCCTTCTTTTACCCCACTGCCGACCAAAATTTTCGCCATCAAAGCTTGTTCTGCCTCCTCCTCCTCCTCTACATCATCCACTCCCAATCCGGTTGTTTCCACCCTTAGAACTTCCGCCGCCGCCTTAATTTTCTCTGCAGCGGTGTTCGGCAGAGCGGCTCAGTTGCCGGCCCGGGCGGAGCCTCCACCGAATTTAACACAAGAGATAGACGAATCCCAGATTGAATCAACAACTGAGAAGATTCCAGAAGTTGTTAAAGAGAAGGAGAATTCGCCGTTTACCCAGTTTTTGGAATCCAATTCAGAAGCTGTGGAGGCGTTGAGTAGTTTGCTCCAGAAGAAACTTGAGGCCGGAGAGGATGAAGAAGGGTTGAAGATATTGAGGAAATTGTGCTCTGCTCAGCCGGATAATCTTCAGTGGAAGTTTTTAATGGCTAGGTTGTTGAATGAAATGGGGAATGCCCAGGAAGCAAGATTGGTTTTTGAGGACATTTTGTCGGTCAATCCGCTGTCGTTTGAAGCATTGTTTGAAAATGCGATTTTGATGGATAGATGCGGAGAAGGAGAGGCTGTGTTGAAGAGGTTGGAGGAGGCATTGAAGATTGCTGATGAGGAGAACAAAGTGAAGGAGGCTAGAGATGTGAGGTTTATAATGGCTCAAGTTCAGTTCTTGCAGAAGAATGTGGATGAAGCATTGAAGAGTTATGATGAGCTTGAGAAGGAGGATCCTAAGGATTTCAGGCCTTATTTCTGTAAAGGGATGATTTTTAGCTTGCTTGATAGGAATGAAGAAGCTAGAGAACAGTTTGCTATGTATAAGAAGCTTTCTCCAAAGAAATTTGAGGTTGAAGGGTACTTGAGGACACCATTATCAAAGATGAAGCTTTTTGGAACTGGCGAAGATGATGAGAATTGAGGATATATGGCTTGTGATCCAAACTCCAAAATTTTGACCAATAAACGGGTTCTCTTTTTCTTCTCCTTGATGCCCGCATAGATATGTATTTGAGGAATCACCAATTATTTAGGTTTTGCTCATATATTAGGTGAAAATGCATTTGACAACAGGATACTTAATAGAATATGGTATATGGTATAAGGAATTTCAGGGACATTGACGCTCTTGAGCTTGAGCTTTCTTTGGTAATTAGAACAATCCTCATGAGGTGCTTGATCATTTGAATAAAGTCTTGTATGTTTTAGTTGAATTCTCTCTATCGAATGTTAACTTTTGCTCTTTCTTTTCTTCCCTTCTATTTTGCTGCTTTCAACTTGTTATGGTTCGCTAAAGTACCTACCTATAAGCATGAGATTCAATTGGTGTTTAGTTTTGTTGTGATTTTTCCGTTTTTAAAGAAAGTTTCTGCTTTCTCATTGAAGGATTTGATTTCATTCCTGAATAGTCGTTTCTTGGTTGAGATCGATGTTCCTCAGTAAGTAGGAAAACTAATGATTGTATAACATAATTGTGCCAAACCTTAGTTAAAGTTTTGACAGTCACATAGTGCCTACCACATCAATAGATCATCCAAGCAAATAGAGAACACCCAATGACCTGTGATGCATCAGCTCTTTGAAGAATCTTGTCTTGGCTCTAACTTTGGAGAGTGAGTCATACCAAAAATCAAAGATAAGAAAACAGATCAAGTTGTAACTCCAATAAGATTGACAATCTCTTGGTTGCTGTCAACATTCAACTATTTGTTCATTAGGAGGGAGGAGAAAAGTGGTCACGAAGGTTGCATACTTGAATACACGGATGTTTGGTGTAGTCGGGATACATATGTTATCCTGTATATTAGAGGTATGTACTTATGGTATGATTCCATATACAACCAACTCAATCAATTCAATGCTGAGTATCACTTTTTTTCTTCTGTTTCTCTGAGTTGTTGTCTTCTCCTCCGAGGTGGTTCAGGAGTTATTTCTTCTTCTAGTTTTGACATTGTTGAAGCTATATACTTTGAAGAATGTTCTGAACTCGTAAATGAATTGAAACTGATCCATGTAAATTTATGTAATTTTTATGTGGGTAATGCAATCCATAATTTGTAACCCGAAAGCGAAACTGATTCTGCTGCAACTTGATATTAACTGTTTCTACTGCATTTAAGTCTCTTTTTGGGTTCAACTAATAGGTTATCAGGATCATCTACCAGCAGGTAAAATGCGCAGACTTACTCAGAAAATGAAGAACCATATTATCAGTGTCGTAATCTTATTCATCACAATCGACTGTTTGCAGAGTTCCATTAGAGAGAACAATTTGTTCAAACTTCATTAAAATTGACACATTTCTAGCGCATTAGAGAGAACAATTTGTTCAAACTTCATTAAAATTGACACATTTCTAGCGCATCGTATAACTTTAAACCTCTGCAACACCAAAGCAAGTACAATAGTAGTTCCTGGCTTCCATATCTGGAATATAGAACAATGAAGTGCACCTCATATGCAAGCTGTAACTCAAATTTATGGTTTTTGCATTTTTTGGATCTGGTCTAGGTAGGCTTCATTGTTACTTCAGGATATAGATATTCACATAATAGGATGAAAAAAGAACCTTAGTGAAATGAAAAGGATGCCCCATTAGCAACCGTGTTGATATAATGATTCATCTGACAAAACAAAATGTTGGAGAAAATTCTTGATCCGTGTTCTCAAGAACATTGCACAACATGCATCATTCCAGAAAACTACATGGTTTATCCCCTTATTGAAAATTTTCTAAACTACACAAGGAAGATCAAGTTTCATTTATACAGGGTGGTTATCCTCCTGAGTTCCTACTACCACATTAATCACGATCTTTGACTTTCAACCGTCACAGTCTTTGGCAATGAAGAAATCATATGACAGTCCCATCTTTAATCGTTGCATTTTTCAGAATGACGGTGATGCCAGATCTTATGTAAAATCCTTCTTCTGATCTGTCTGCTTCTTCAACTCCCTGCAGCAATCAGTAATGCATTAAAAATCATTGCAAGCCAATTAAAAGATCCCATCACCCCCCAACCCCACCCCATAACTAGCTTGTTAATCGCCAATCTCTGATCAACAAGCCAGACAGATTTCAACCAAAATTCAGCCAGCCGGTACAAGAGGCAACAGTGGCTGCCCGATGCAGATCGGGATTCACATCCATGTTACACGAGTAAATTTTGTTCTATGACCTTATTTGATCCCATGACGATGACCCAACCCAGCTACCCAGCTAAAAGTTAAAATGTTAAGACAGATATGACAAAGGTCAGGGATCGGAATTACTGGCCAAACATAATGATGAGGGAAGAAGAGACAGAACTTACGTCCTTATTTGCAATAACCACGTCTTTTCCTATCTTGGCATTCTTGTCAATAATGCAGTTTCTTCATCAAATATCAAGAAAAGAAAAGAGTCAGTTCTAAAACAGATGGAACTCTCCCAATGTCTCTAGTGAAGAACATTGGTAATATAACGATCAATACATGAATATGATCAAAGCTTTGGACCAACAAATGGCAAGATAATTAATTTGCAGGTTGATGCACAGCGATGAATAAGGATTTCACCAGAGCTACTCACCTTATTTTGGTGTTTTGACCCACACCAATGGGAACCTTCCCCTCGGCCAATAAAGATGCAATTTCAGATTCGGTCTGATAATAATCTGCACCCATCATCATAGTATCCTGAAAATCGATGTAACACGCGACTATAAGTACGCAGAATATCTCAAGCAAATCTAAGCTGAAAACCACAATTGGGATTTCAGATAGTCCTTTTCCCAGACAATCTAGACCTCATTTAAACGATTTGCAGTTAGGACAGTTAAAAGAGGTGATACGAAACATAGAACACCTCAGAAACCCTAAGAAACAGAGGAGTTACATATAGTCGACAAGTTAGGTAAGGCGTAGTGCATTAGCCTTAGATGCCATCCTTCAAAGATCTAACATCAGAAGACAATATGATTCGAGTGATCCACATGCAACTGAAAGCAGTCCCCTTAATAAAGTGAGAATTCAGATGTAAACTTACAATCAGCTCCACGCCAAAGTCTAAGCGGGATCTTATACCCACAATGGAGTGCTGTACGCTACACTCTCGCAGAAAGCAACCATGTGAAATTATGGCATCCACGATCTGTAAAGGCCAGTAAATTTGTGTGATACGCAGGATCATAAGCTCATATCAAATGTATTAAGGCTTACCGGCATACCCTGCATTTTTCAACTTTTGTAGGTGGCAAGAATCTGGGGGAGGTGTAGAAAGGATTCTTTGGGTCATTAAAGTCGAACTTTGAATTCTGCAAAAGCAGGAAGTTAAATTAGCAAAACTAACATATCAGTTGACACACAATAATTTGACAAGGTATCTAAATTTTGAACCGCACGTCACTGTTCTTATAACTCAAAAATGATTTGACTTGAATCTTAGGTGAAGACCGCAAATTACAATGTGCCATGTAACATCACTGTCCATCCAGTTTTTTTAGTTTTCAAGACTCTACTTAGAACATGAAAAGCGCGCATTGCATGCAGCCAAAAGCATTTGTTGACTATAACCACCAAATATGCTACTCTCTTGGAGAACTCTAACAATCAAATATAAAACTCAGTGACAATACAATCTTTGTAATTAGAAAATAACCTGTTCTGCAAGGGCCAAGTTGGAATCGAAGAAAGACTTAATAGTTCCAATGTCCTCCCAGTAATCAGTGAACAGGTATGCCTGGTGATATATTAACGTAAAACCGATAAGAAAAGAATAATTAGGAAACATCATACACCTACCACAGAGCGCCATGTGCAACAAAGTACAGAAAAACAAGCAAACACTCAATCACACCTGAACATTGTGATCTTTCACAGCTGAGGGAATGATCTCAGAGCCAAAGTCATTGCATGAAGGATATTTCCACTTCAGAAGCTCAAGTAGAACATCAGTTCTGAAAACGTAAACCCCCATGGAAGCAATGTAGGGACACTTTGCTGCCTCTTTCTCAGAAAGCCCGAGAAGAGAGGTGTTTACTTGCTGCAGAAAAACAGACAATACCACCAAAACAGTAAAATATGGGAAAAGGCAACCTAATCTCAGCAGCAGACAAAGGCAATTTAAATAGATAATCACATGACCCGATGGTCAATGACTATTGAAGATATGACCAACACATGGATAGAAAAAATACAGTGACATTCCCTACCATAGCTTTCAATGCAGGGCCTTTTGGTTTCTCACTGAATTGGGTGATACGTCCTGTTTCATCAATTTTCATCAACCCATAATCTGAGGCTCGACTGAAATTGGAAAAAGGAAACTGTTAGAAATGGTGATCTATCAACCGTGTGTGGATAAGAAGTTGTAGTGATATACTAATAATATTAAGTGAAGCAGGCTGAGATCTCTTGTTTTAATTATATCTTTTGTTTATGGTTATAGATCCACTACAATCAACCAGCATGCAGAAAGGGATCTAGCAGTCAAGACTTTTACTGCAGTTCACGAATAATGAGACTGATAGCATGACCCCAGAATATAAATGTGTTAGGCAAGGTCATCCATGCAAAAGAATGATATGTCAGGGAGTTCACCAAAATATGTGTTACAAACCTATCGTCCATGGGTACACATGAAACTGTGATATCCGCATTTGTGTCAACATGCCTCTGCAAGGACAATTTTCTCAGTTGAGAAAAAATAAAAATCATGCAAGAAGTATAAGGATTGGGATTAAGAGGGGATGAAAGCTACCTGAACCAAGTCCATGTACTCCATTCTGTATAAATGATCCCCGGATAAGATAACTATGTGTTCAACATTTTTGTTCTTCGCATCCTATTAAACAAATCACGAAACTTTTTACATGTTTCCACTAAATTTTCAGGAAAAAGAGGAAAGAGTACAAATACAGACCTCAAATACCCATGTAAATTGCCGAACAGCATCTGCAGTTCCTTGGAACCACTTCTTTCCAGCTTCCCCTGGTGTCTGTGTGGCAGCAAGAACCTAGTTCCAAGACAAAACATTATTGGCTGTTGGTTCTTTATGACTCAAAATCTTCAAAAGCTATGATTCGAAACTTAAGGTATTCGTCTTACCTCCACAAATCCGTCCCCGAAATTCACACCATTTCCAAGATTGTAGGTTCGAGCAAGATGACGATTGAGGGAAAAGGAGTTAAACTGAGTCAATATAAAGATCTTGCGAATGCCACTATTGATGCAGTTGCTCATGGGAACATCAATAAGCCTGTAACAACCTCCAATTGGCACCTGCAGGGTGAACCAAACCATATTTAGTTGTCTATGACTATTCCTCAAATGAAACAGTCCAAAGAGAGGTTATCCCTAAAAATATTAGCTAATGCAAAGCAACAAAACACAGGCCATCTGCGAATAGTAGACGGTTAAATGGCAACAAAGTTGGAATGGTTTCTTACAGCAGGTTTGGCCCTTTTGCTGGTAAGCGGAAACAGACGAGTCCCGGCACCTCCACCCAGGATGATTGAAGCAACAGTTTTAGGATCCACTGGTGTGATCTCTTCAAAACTAGGTACTTCAAATGTCTGACAACATAATTTTTAAAAAATAAAAATGAAAAACAGTCAGCAAACCGCAATTTTAAGGGAATCCTTATATGGCTTCATGTTCATACTCAAACAGTTCAAATCCATTTCCATGTGATTAAGGTAGAGAAAAGTTCAGAGCAAGGCAAGAAATTAATTTGAAGGATTTAACTGACCATTATCTCTTCGTTTATGTCTTGGGTGAAAACAGAGAAAGCCACCCCAGGCTTGATCTTCTTGGCCCTGCCTGCATTTCTCAAACTCTTACACAATTTGGTGCCCAGAAAAGGTTTGTTCTTGATAAATCCCTTGGTGAAATTCTCTGCAGGGAATCTTTTCTCTCCATGGCCAAAAACCCTTGTGCCAATCTGCATTGGATGGGGATTATTCGCCGCCTGCATGGTGGTGGCACAGCAGGAATCCATTGCCACACCAAAAACCCCACTTACAAAGCAAAACCCAGATTCTAAACCTCAATATGATCAACTAAAGATTCTTCCTTTACTTTGGTTTTTTTCGATTTAATTAACAATTTTACCAATTAATAAAAAAGATTCCTCCTTGGACAAATAATGTGATCATCAAATCAAAAACAGAGTTTCAGTATTCATTAGATACTGACTTTATGCCAAAAAGAAAGAAGAAAGAGAAACAACTTTCCAAATAAAGATCTCAAACCCCCCTTCACCCAAAGTCACGTGTGGAATGTGCCATGAAAAAAGAAATCAAAAAATCATTCAAACATCAAAAACACATAAAATGCTCCCTTCAAAAAAAAAATTTATGATGGCCCTGATGCTAAAATGGTGAGAAGAATTGATATGCAGCGAAGGAATGAGAGAGAAAAAAAAAAATTGAAAAAACAGAGGAGAGATCTTGGTGGGTGGCAACTGGAAAGAGTGACAGTAGAGTTGATTGGACCCTTTCTGTTCTAAGGGTTTTTAGAATTTTGTGGAGTTTTATTAGTCTCAAAATACGAGGTCCACGAGATCATGTTACATGTGTCCAGTAATCAGGTTTTGTCAGTCAAACATTAATTAATTATTAACTCTTTCTAATGGCAGATTATTATTTTTCTTGAAGAAATCTTTAGCTAAATCAAATTACAGCTATCCTCTCAAAAGGATAATAATATTTTGTCAGTAAATATAAGTCTTAGTTGAAGATAGATAGAGTATTTTATTAGAAGTCTACCTCTTGCAACAGAAACTATTACAATCTTCTAATTAGTATTACCACTAGTGATTTACAGAAAAACAAATATAGTTTTTTTAAAAAAAAAAAAACTTTAAAATGATAGTGATTTTTGCTTTTTGTACTTCCAGATTTTACGCTTTCGTAACTGACAAAAAACATTAAAGAAATCAAATCAGGAGTGTATTTTTGTGCATTCAAAGGTTTGATTGCGAATTTGCGATTCGATTTGGTCAGGGTATGAAAGTGACGTCTTTTATTTGGATGAAACAGCCAACTACGTAATAAACTCTTAAGCAATTTGGATTTAATTAAAGGGGTAGTATAATTTAGCAATTAATCCCGATGATCTTCCATCTTCATCATCAACTCAACGTTGACATGACAAACACTATTTGGTAGCAAAAAGCCAAAAAGTCATGTGGTGCTGCTGGTTTAGCCTTTACAAAGTTTTAAACAGTTGAGAAAAATATGTGATCGTTGATTTTGCCCTTGAAATGATGGCAAATTTTGATTTGCTTTTTTTTTTTTTTTGGCATTTAATAATGGAAAGCTTTCAATTATTAATGAATCAAAGTCGGATCTTCGAATTTCAGCGCAAATAGGACGGACTTGTAAACAAAAATAAATAAGATACCAGTTGTGATCTTAACAAGACTTTTTTATGAAGGTCACAATTTATACAAAAGACTTTTTGTTTGTTAACCAAAAAAAAAAGAGAAAGACCACTGTTTATATATGGTACTAGATGTTTGGTCCGGGCGAAGTAGCCCCTTTTTTTCAATTATTAATGATGCTTTCTTTTTGATTCTTCAGGTTTAAGATGTAAAATACAAACTTTCTGCTACAACTGATTTGAGCAGGAGCCACTCCTTATATATATATATTTTGTTCTTCTGGTCTTTAAACAGTTTGAATAGAAAAACACCTATGGATGCAGACACTAAATGACCCGTCTTATGATTAGCATAACGATCCATACTGCAACCTGCAAAAGTTATAATCATATCATGATTCTTGTACAACATCGTGACCTCAAGATACCGGAAACCTAACAATCCATCACATGAAAAATAATGAAACATAACCCCTTGTAAGCTGTAATCATGCATATACATCAAGAACTACCTACTGAATCATAAATTACCTACTTAATCATAAATCAAGTTCATCAGCCCCTCTGTTAGGTACCTTGTTATACAGAAGGAAACGAAAAATATACAAAAAATAACATAGAACATTTTTTTTATTTCTCTTTGCTCATTTTAATGGCTTGAAGCATTTCAGGATAAAAATTTATCAACATGCCTGTGATGTATTCACCCAAAAATCCTGTATGTATACTGTTTAAATTTACCAACTTTACAATGTGCATAAGTGTTTTGGTTAAAAAAGACAATCAATCAAGAAACAACAACAGCAGCCATAGCCATTTATGTTCAACAATTTCCAAAGCTCAGCAGACGCGATAGTCATAGAAGTACTGACTTGATCTTCAGAACTTGCATTTATATAGAATCATTTGAACTTCATGAAAAAAATGCACCCTATATCAACCTTAAAGACTGTGTTGTACATTTGGCTCTAAATCCACAGACGCAAAAATGGAAACAATCAACAAAGGTCCATGTGCAAAAATTATGATTTTGAAGTCTTGATTAATACCAAAAAAAAAAAAAAAAAGTCATCAATGACCGAAGCCAAATCGACTAAATCCAAAAATGATAGAGAACTATGCAAAAAAAAAACTTAAATATTATGATGGCCATCAAATTTCTGATCAACTGAAAAAATAGGTTAAACTCCATAACCAAACAGAATCAAACATGGAGGTAAGAAGGTTTTTCAAAATCAGCAATTAATGCTTCAAAAACCATTGATAATTAGGTGGCCCGTACCTTCGCTTTTGTAACCTTGAGAGCATCGGCAATCAAGCTTTCAAGAAACTCAGAAGTGCCATCATTCATCATTGATCAGATGCATCTTTCTTCTCTCTTCACCCCTAACAAACAAATTAAAATAAGAAAAAAAATGAATATAGTAAATTAATTTAACCCAACAAATTTACAATCCCCTTCATGACTGCAAATGCAAGTAAAAGCATAGGCAGAGATTGAAAATTATCAAAGAAAAGACATATTAATTTGCAGGAACCAAAACAAAACTAAACGGAAAAAAAAAAAGAAAAGAAAATGTTTTTAAATTTTAATACTTAAAAATAAACAGAAAAACTCACCTCAACAGTTTGCAATTGAATCTTGTTCAAACATTTGGAAGAGATAATCAATTTCTGTGGTTTCCACGACCATCAAAGTGTGAATAAAAGTCCAGAGTAATTTAGATGCAATTGCTAATTGACTTCTACATGATTAGAATGCAGTTCAAGAACAATATCAATACTTCACAAATCAAGATGTAGTTGATTATGAAATAAAGAAATTTTAATAAGACCACAAGATTGAACTTACAATTATTGGAGAACCAATTGTCCCATTCCAATTTCAATTGAAGACCAAAACAAACAAACAAACAGAGAACCAAAATGTAAGAATATGTGACTGAAAACATCGAAACTTGCCTTGTATGACTGTAAAATCATAATGCCCAAGTGTTTGTTTGTCCAATAATTCATTTTCCATTTTCACTCAGTTTATCTTTTAAACACAAAACCCAATGAAAAAAAATCATCCAAACAACTTTTTAATTTACCTTTTAAAATATTGTGTTTGGTCATTACACTATTGTAAAGTCTTCATTTTGGTCACTGGACTATTGCAAAGTCTTCATTGCGTTTGGTTATTAAACTATTATAAAGTGTTGCGTTTGGTCACTGAACTATTATAAAGTCTTGTGTTTGGTCGTTATACTACTGTAAAATCTTCATTATGGTCGATGAACTATTTTAATTTCATAAATGGTCACTATATTATAATACTTTCTAGATGAAAAGCTAAACTACCTTTTAAATCTCCTCTCAAATCCAAATCAAAAACTAAAATAAAATGTTGTCCAAACAAGCACCAAATCATTCAACCCAACTTGGATGGTTCTTTTTCCTCCTATTCGACGTCTAGGTCAGAGAAGATCAGTAGTGGGATCTAAAAGCTGAAGGAGGTTTTCAAAGCGGTAGACTTTAAATCCAACACTATCACTTACCTCCTTCAATCATGCTCGAATTTGCGAAGTGATTTGAATCGAATGAAACAACGTTGTTGTGGAGGAGGAGGAAAAATTGGCGGCGGCGACGATGGAGGTGTTGATCGGTGGGAGAAAGAGAGAAGATAGAGGAGAAGGAATAATAGTAAACCGACGGAAGCTAAAGAGATCATCTTGTCAGTCGTTTTGCCAATGGAGCATGAAAGGAATGGAGCAGTGGAGAGAGATGAGGAAGAAGAAGAAATTTTTCGGCCCACAAAAAGACCTAAAAAAAATCTAACAAAACCTGATATTTATCCCAAATTGAAATTTGATTCTACGATCGGAGAAGATCAAAATTTGATTTTTTGCTATAATTTTGGAGATAAAAAAAATTGGGGAGTAGTTATATCAAATTAGGGACCCATTTTGGAAGCTAAAATTGGGGAATTGATTTTGTTTATAAGCGTACCAGATGTTACCCGTGTATTACACGAGGTAGAAAAATCATACTTTAAATAAAGGAAGAAGGACAAAAAATATTTCAACTTATGTCCAAAGAACAAATTACCCTTGATATTTCTCATAAGGACGGTCAACCCCATGACTGCCCGTAACTTTGTAGTCAATTAATAAGCCCAAAGATGTATATTGGCCAAAAAACTTAAAAAAAAAAAACACGGTCCCTCTGGTGCAGTTATGGACGGAAAAAGTCAAAAGACAAAATTACATTTTTGTTCCTGCATCTATAAAATATAAAATGGCCAAATATTTACTTTAATATTTTTGTCTCCATATTACAAATAAAAGGGGAAAAAACGACCTCTCTTTTTCAAGACTCTCCCGCTTGTTAAAATTCTAAAGCCAAGGCTACCTACAAGAAAATTAAAACCTGAAAAGTGATAATATATAAAAGAAATCATCAAAAAAAATCCAAATAGTGATTTTATAAAACCTGAAAAGTGATAATATATAAAAGAAACCATAACATAAATGTGGATCCACTGCGAATGCTCCTTACAACTGATCAATTGTTCTTCTGGGTGAACCCCAACGAAATATGAAATACAACAATGAGGATCCATCACACATACTCCTTTTGTATTTCTTCTTAATGAATAACAACTACATACGAAATTAATTTTCACTGTTTCTTGCACGAACCTCAAAATTAACCAAGATTTCAAAAAAAAAAAAAAAAAAGGAGAAGAAGAAAAAATTGCAATATGGAAACTAATTAACCAAGTGATTCATCTTCGCATGGGGGAGGGGGAATTGATTGTGGCAGCGAAGAGCAAAGGGAATTATTGTGATGACAACAAAAACCAAAGAAATTAATAACGGTGAATTTGGAGAGATAAAATATATCAAAAATTGATATGTAATCCCTAAATTATATGGATTTAATTTTGATAATAAAATTGGAATATTCTATGCAGGAAGAGATTAGTTTCATTAAAAAGTCATCTTTGATTTTGATTTTATTACATCAATATATTTTAGGTATCTAATTGAAACAGAAGTACAAAGATTTCATATTTATCAGTTTTGTAAATTAGTTCAAAGTTAAAAGATGGTTGGTGGTGATAGGATAAGGTCAACTTATGTAGTTCTTTTAATATTTATATAAAAAAAACTCTTTTACTATGTGATATATGGATAAGATATATAAACTTTTTTTAATCCTTTTTAATAAATTAAAAAATAGAGCAAATTGTCGGTCTTACGTGGCAATTGGAAAACTATTCCAGTTTCCTCTCTTTGGGTTTTCTTTTATTAAATTATGTAGATATGATTTGGTGGAAGAAAACCAACCGACCAACCCAAAAAGAGAGCAAGCATAGACAGTTTCTAGTTCAAATTTTGAATCAAAGTAGTCTCTCATCCACTGTGACGGTTGACCTTGTCTTTTTTTTTTCGGTGATGGATCCAAATCCAATGATAGAGAGGGCGATAGGATAGGTGATGGAGAGAGAGATGAAATCACCTGACTATTTTCAAGGGATTTGAATATTTTGAGTGTGGATTGAATTGAGATTAAAAGTAACTTCCGGCCATTAAGTGTGATTTATTTATATTTAATATGATATATATATATATATATTATATCTCTTTAAATGGGGAATGATTATCGTGTACATTTAAATCCCTTAATTTGAATGCAAATAACTTAATTTGGGGAGTGTTTTATTTAACGTGAATATTTATATTTAGGGGAGCGCTTAACGCGAACATTTATATTTGCATAATTTGGGGTATTATCTTTTTTTTTTTTTCCGGATGAACACAGGACATGTAGCATCCTTCTTTTGTAAAAGATGTATTTTTTTTTTTTGGCGGGAAAAAAAGCATTGTGAAGCTGACATGTGTCCTAAATGTCATTTACTTTCATGAAGTGTTGAGAAATTGCTAAATGCAGCTTGATTTTATTTTGCATAACTTGTAAAAAATATGAAAATACCCCTCCTTATAAATACTTAAAAATAACATAAAACTCAAAAATACTAACATAAAATTGAATTCAGTATTAAATGTGATTAAATTTAACATAAAGAAACCAAATCAAAGGTAAAACGTCGTTAAATTAATAATCGATAAATTTATAAATTCTAGTAATTAACAATTTTCTCTGGCCCAACTTGGAACCAGCATAAAAAATGAAAAAAATTAATAAAATATTAAAATAATAATGTTTTAGAAAATTTCCTATATATCTATAAATCCCGACAATACTTTAAATTAATAAATACCCTAAATGCAAAAAAAAAAAAAAAACAAAACAAAAATACTAATTACTTTGAAGATTTAGTAAAATATAAACTTTTTGATTTTTTTTTCTTGAATTTATATTAAATGAGATTTCATCTTTGATTTGTCTCATTGTCCTTGAAAACTCTAGTGTCGTAATTTCATATTGCAGCATGAGATTGTGAGGAGTTCCTGGTGGTTTGATTGTTTCTTTGCATGCGACTATCTATGAGTATCATATAAACTAGCTTTGAGTTTGTTATTAAAAAGAGTTTTAGTACCTAATTGTAAAGAGATAGATCAACGAATAGTATAACAAGATTTTTTATATAAAAAATTCTTTAAATTAATAATTTATTAATTCATCGATTATCTATTAATTCTCTAAATTAATAAAATTTGATGGTTCCAACACCATTAATTCATAGATGTTCTGTTGTAATACCAATTTCGAGAAACGTAATATATTTTAATTTTATCATAGGCATACTTGTTTCTTTGTTTAGATATTAATTTCTTGCATTGTTGAACTTGTTTTGCTTTAGAAATAACTGAAAAACAGAGCTAATGGAGAAGATCGATAAACAAGTATGTCTCATTACAAACAATTACTTGTTGGGACGCTGATGCCTCATTTTTTCCTAGTTTTCGTGTTCTCAGGTTCTTCGTCATTGCAAATTATCAATAATCAGTGAATGTTTTGACTGCATGTTTAAAATAATTTGTGATAAATGATAAAAAAAGAGACAATCGTATAAAAGAGTAAAAAGTTGACAAGTTTAAGGTTCAAAAGTATATTAGTATTTTTTACAAACTGTGCGAAGTAAAATAAAATTACGTTTAACACTTTTTTTTATGGAATCAATGTATGTATGAACTCAGGTCCAAATTACTATAACTTATCCGAACTCAATGTTTTAGGCAAGAACACGCTTTAATCTTGTAAAAAAAAAAAACACATTTTAAGGGTTCATCTAAAATTGAAGAGACATTTTGAGAATCACTTGTCATCATTTTTCCAAAACACTTTTTTTTTTGTTCAAGTTTTTTTTTTTTTTTTTTTAAAGTAATTTTGTTTCCTAAACTGAAATTTGGAAAATTTTTGTCCCCGTTCGGGAATTTGAATTATTCAGCATGCCTTGACAGAGAAATAAGAACACTTCCAATACACGCGCGTATTCCCCCAGCCAGTTCAAAAATTCAGTGCTCAAAAAACAAACTATGGCACTTTATCGAACGGTTGGTAGGCATTCTTTCGGTTACACATTCTCAACTCTAAAGTTCAAGTTTTCCACAAAAAATTTCACCACAAAAACCATCCCGGTCCTTTGGGACTACAGAAATTCCGAATGCAGTATCAGAGAAGGAGCCGAATCAGTGACAGTCCAACTGCTTTCCTGGGGACGTGGCGCTTCAGGCCAGCTCGGAGGCGGCATCGAAGAAATCCGAATGTATCCAGCTGCCGTGGCGTCCCTTTCTCTGCCTTCTTCATTTGGTCTCTCTTCTCCCATTCCTGGTCGTTTGCCAGTATCAAAAGGATCAGCAATCAATGGTATGGAGAAAGAGGATGAAAATGAGGTGAAAATTGGGATTTCTTGTGGGCTTTTTCATTCGGCGTTGTTGGTTAATGGACAAGTTTGGATTTGGGGAAAAGGTGATGGCGGCCGCCTTGGACTTGGCCATGAGAATCCCGTTTTTGTGCCTACTTTGAATGCTAATCTGGGTCCGAATCCGATTAAAAGCATTGCCCTTGGTGGGCTTCATTCTGTTGCATTGAATTCTCTTGGACAGATCTTTACGTGGTTAGTATACTCCTTATTGGTACTGAAATTTTGAATTGTTTGCCGTTCTTTGAGTTTAATGATTATTATTTAAAAGTAAGGGATGCGTTTTGGTGAATTTATTGGTTAAAAACAGAAAATCCCAACAGGGATTTGTTTAACAAATAGTGTTAAAGTTTGAGGTGTTTGTGAAATGAGCTTTCTTTCTTACATACGAGGAAAATGCTGTTCCGAGAGAGAATTTCATTGTTACTGTGAATCAGGAAATTGTATGTCGCAGTTAGTTTTCATATCATTATTTCCCCTTGGGCAGTTTACTATTATCATAGGCTGATTACCTTACCTTTTTATGATGAAAGTGTTCAGGGGCTACGGTGGTTTTGGGGCTCTTGGACATTCTGTTTATCACAGAGAGCTAAGTCCTAGGTTGGTTGAAGGTCCTTGGGGCCAAGAAATATGTAGCATTGCAACTAGTGGGGCACATACAGCGGCAATTACCAATTCAGGTTGCATGAATTTTACATGTTTGACTTTATAAATTTTCTGCACTTCTTCGAGTCCCTTCCCCCTGCCAGAACAGGTTTAGTGGGGCTCCCTGGTGATTTAATTCCAATTAGTTGTTGTAAATTCTGCATGGTTCCTGGACCTTAATGCCATATGTAGATTATTTATAGCTCAAATTCCAGCTTTGCTGGCCTTTCACTCTACAGTTTTTTTGATATTCCCACTGTTAGTTGTTTATCTCGTAGAAGCTGCACCACCAATCCCCTTGTGTGCAACTTCTGCTAGAAAGTTTAAGTGGATATTTGTTGGATATGAACTATATTTCTGGCTGAAGGGGGATATTTCAATGGCATTCCAAAGCATTTTTATCACTTAATTTGGACTTCAGTATATTCATATTGGGCTGTGACCTTTGCTGTTGCTTCAGCTTGAACTTTCATGAGTATTTAATATCTTTCTGCTTGTGAACGGTATCTCCTTTATTAAGTATGTGGACCGTCTCCGGAAAAGTATGATGGAAAATGTTGTGCATTCATTGTGTTTGAAAGATTACAATTTGCCGGAATTGTTCTTAAAGTACGTCCCTGATGGTTTATATTTTTAGTATGTTTTTATCATGCTCAAATCATTAATTAATTTTATTTTATTGACTCAAGCAGGTGAACTGTATACCTGGGGCAGAGATGAAGGGGATGGTCGACTGGGTCTTGGACCTGGTCGTGGCCCCAATGAGACAGGTGGCCTTAGTGTACCCACCAAAGTAAAAGCATTACCCGTGGCTGTAGCTGCGGTCTCATGTGGTGGTTTCTGCACAATGGCATTGACAGAGCAGGGACAACTCTGGAACTGGGGAGGTATTGATTTTTTATTTCTCTTATTGTTTCTGTGATTTTTTTCTGATAACATTGCTTATGTCGTACAGCTAATTCTAACTACGAACTTGGAAGAGGTGATAAGCTTGGTGGTTGGAAACCTCAACCAATTCCCAGTCTCTTAGATATTTGTATTGTTCAAATAGCTAGTGGTGGATATCATTCCCTTGCTTTGACCGGTAAAGACCACCATTATTAATTTTGTTTCCTTTGTGCACATCTGTAAGTATCTTATTGAGTTGACGATCTCAGATAAGGGAGAAGTCCTTTCATGGGGTCATGGTGGGCATGGCCAGCTGGGTCATTCTTCTATAGCAAACCACAAAATTCCTACACGCATTGAGGCACTTGCTAATGAGAGGGTCATACATATTGCTTGTGGAGGCTCATCATCAGCTGCTATAACTGGTAATCCTTTTCCGATCTCTAACTCAATGTGAATGCTAAATCTGGATTTTACATTCTTTTTCCTTTTTGCTTTACTTAAAAAAAGTGTTAATAGTTGCCTCGTTTCAAAATATTCACCGTTCTCTTGCCTGCCTCTTGTTTTGTAGTCTAAAAGAGGTGTTTGCGCCTTCTGTTTAATTTCTAGAAGTAACTTTGGGTTTTGTTTCTAGAATATCAGTCATTTAGCTGCTTATAGAACTTGCCGGAGTATATTGACATTAATAATATTGGAGTGGTATTGTGCCTAGTTTATTATTTTGTCCCTCTTATATCTCTTTATTTTCCCTTTGTTTTAGGGTGAGAGGGGGTGTTGTTTGGGCTAAACATTCTGTTGAATTGAAACTGGCTATTGCAAGTGTAACCTCTCTTTGTGGCACTAGACCAATGAACTTACATACCCATATTCGTCCTCTCATTACTCTTGCATTGCAACAGATGAAGGTAAGCTTTACACATGGGGAAATGCCAAGGATTGTCAACTAGGTATATCTGGTCTGCCAGAGGTGCAATCTTCTCCTGTCGAAGTTAAATTTCTAATGGAAGATGGCTCAATAGTTAAGGAAGTGCTCTTTGTGGCCATGGGTGCTTCTCATGGCCTGTGCCTTGTTACGACATCCAGTTGCTGAAGATTGACATGCTTCATGGTACCAAATGATGCTTTCGAGATGTTTTCATCCATGCAAGGTTGGTTGAAGCTTAGCGCAGACCCATCTGCAGGGTTTCTTACCTACACAAGAGGCAGTTAGATCAGGGTTTCAAGTCATATTCAGGAATAGTTTCTGCTTCCTGGAAGACTTGTTGATGTAACATTTCTGTAGGGAAATCTTCAAGTTCTGCGTCGTAGTGTAATACTGTATGGCAAAAGTGGCGGTATTTCGTGGGCTGCATCATTTTTTTCTGGCTCCACTGTAAGATCTTGACTCAAGTTCACAAAAAATTCTGAAGTTCTAATTGGAGTTCCTTGGGACAGTTGTGGCAGTTTGCCAGTTCTGCTTAGAATTATTCCCCCCCATGGTACATCATAATGACCTATGTGATACAGATGAAAAGACGATAGATCAATTATATTTCACTAATCGTACAGGAATCAATCACCGACTGAAATATATGCCAAGAATCACCGACTTAGATGAATCTACTGTTAATATTGTTATTCCTTGTATAGTGCATACATCGATCATATCTCACCAGTCACCATAAAATGTTCATCCCTGTAAAAAATTGGATTTCAAGTGAAAGAAAACACACAATAACCAAACAAATATACAATAATAGAATTATACCCCAAACTTTGTCTTAATATTAATGGAAAGTACTCCAAATAAGTTTCTCGAGAATAGAAGAGTCTACATACCGAAAGTCCGAAAGGAAATTTTTTTTTTCAAAAAGAAAACCAAAAAAAAAAAAAGAGCCAAGATTGCTATGGTATCTATTTTCTGCTCATTCAAAACGCGCTAACTTTGACTGATCTTATTGCTCAGGACATGATCAACTAGAGCATCCAGAATCACCACTCATCGAATTTCCTTCTTCCTTGCGAGCCAGGTCTGTCCATGAAACCCCAGCTCTGTCAGGCAGGAATAATCGTGTACTGTCAACTACCCAGTCATGCATGGGACTAATCTCATCACATGGAAAGCCCTCTGCAGCAGTTTTGGGGAAATTTTGCAGGCATAGGTTATAATGCACAAACAGCAAATCAGCCAGTCTCAGTCGTTCTACAGGGTTCATAGGGATCATAGGGTCAATGAGGAACCTCTCAGCCAAGCTCCGGTTCAGGTTGTATTTTGAAGCACCGTTACAGGTTTGGCTCAATATGCGGATGGCCAATCGTTGCAATTCAGGATGTTCCCCTCCATAGGTTTGCCACCATTTTCCTGCAATAATGTTTTCAGAGCATCATATTGAGTTTCGTAGTCAATGGTGAACCATAGTAATGTAAGCAGTACATGTTACTACCTGGAGATTTTTTTAACGCACAGCTGATCCCTTGATGAAAGGCACCATCTCCCATTTCGTAATGCAGAAGTTGAGAACACACACGATCATAATTTCCAGAGAGCCTTGCAAAGCAGGCATCAATGCCACTCCTAACTTCTGAGTCATCAGAGAAGCCATCAGCATAACGAAAATATGGATTCAGAAGATAACCCGCAGCATGGAGAGGGCTGTGTAAATAGTTGTTCCAAATGTAGTCAATGTCGTCCCAGACTGGCTGATAACAAGATTCCTTACCCTCGAAGTTTTTTTCAATTTTTTCTTTCACTTGATCCATTGTCTCATATATATAAGCAATTTTTGGCACATCATTCTTCGATAGCAACTCCAGGCCCCGTACAAGCGGCATGGTTGCATGCAAAACCTGATTAGCTCCTTCCCAAAAAGAATCATCAGCCACCAACTTAGCCACCTTCCGTCCTTCCAATGTCGATGCCAATTTTGAGGTCTCCCAAAAAGTTGAGCAGAACAATTTTTGGATGTTTTTTCTTTCCACGAACAAGTTTTCAAGAGTCAAGAAAGGTATGAGAAAATTAAACTTGGATGGAAACACTAAATCATGTACTGAAGTCAGATCTCTCATAAGTTTCAAAACAAAGAAATCACTATGCACAAAACTTGTTATGGTTTTGGCTTTGACTAGTGTATCATGGACATCTTCCCTTCTCCCAATTCTCTCCAACATGAGTTTAATGCAAAGTGAGTCACTTACAGTCCAAAAAACAGTTCCATGCTGCTCCATGAATCTCTTCCCAGTTTCAGCCATCCAGGGTGAAGTTGTGTAGGTTACGATCTGCAAAACATTCTCAACACCAACATCATCAATAACTCCATCAAGAAGTAGCAGCATGAAGCTAATATTCCTATCAAAACCAGTGATGTCTACTGACTGGATATAAACCGTGCCTCTTGGGCAAGCTGCTAATATATGGAGAAGATTTCTACCCCTTGAATCTTGCCAACCATCTAGCAGTATGCTGCATCCAGTGCTGGCCCACGATTCTCGAATACTTTGGACATCCGCATGCACTTCTTTATATACTTCCTGAAGGATCCACCCCTTCAAATCCTCAGAACTTGGAATTCCATCAATAGTATGCAGATTTTCAGTGCTGGCATTCATCATTCTGTGAAAGCTGCGAACACTGGAAGCAGTAAAATCCAATCCCGTCTCATAAAAGAATTTACCAATTGCCTTCTGGGCATCCGTTGACAAAGAATACTGCTTGGTAGTAACTGATGGAGTACAAGGATTCAGAGGGAAAGATCTTCCACCATTTCTAGAAGAAGCACCAGTTCTTGCTCTCTTCTCATTTTCATCTTCAGAAGGTTCAAAAGATTCTGGGACCGAAAGCTCGGTAGAACTGGAAACACAAGACCACGTTCTTCTTGTGGGAAGATTAGGGGGAGAAAGCTTCCCGACATCCCTGGTCAAGTTACCCTTCTTCTTTGCACGGACCTCCTTGCCAAAGGCTTCTTTCACATCAGCAGGAACCTTTATGCAAGGAACAACATCGCCACGTATCCCTCCAAGGTGGCACTTCAGACGGCTATACCCGCTAACAACTTTTTCGCAGTGATTGCACATGATTCGCTGCTTTTTCCCATCGACAACAGTACCATGATCTTGAATTTTAATGTCCATGGATGCCATTCCTGATTTGATGGACTAATATACACTGAAATTAAAAAAATCAGTAAGAATCTGAAAAAGAAAGCAGAACAAATTAATATTGCTCAATCAGTAACCAACTTGAAGTAACTTTTTAAGTTGAAATTCCTAACAGAAAACAGAAGTATCGGTAGTCTAAAGAATCTGACAAGAATGTTTCCAATTTCTAGATGCTTTTATTGCACACTCAGTCAGCAACAGGATTTAGTTTTGGAAACTAAACAATCATCAGAACACAAGAAAGTTATCTGATAGCTCCTCCAGTTTGAACCATGCAGACTTAATACATAATGGTGCAATTAGATATAGATGCAACCAAGATAAGGACATTCAATCAATTCTGAAAGTAAAAGAGCAAAATCACATTTAAAAATTTATAGAGGTACAATGACATAAGGAAAATTGTGAAGGGGAAGTTCTATCACAGGTATAATATAAAACCACCATGGGTACTCAAAGTGCGATTTTATCAATGTCCACTTGAGACTTAAAAGAGTACCCATAAGATGAGATAGTGAGAGCAACAACTGGCAGAAATGAAAGAGAACTTAAACTTTGACAACAAAGCAGTCAATAAAGTTTGGTTCATAACCAGCCACCAGGTGAAGCGGTAGTTCCACACAAGGTTGTGATTCAATTTAAAAAAAAAAAAAATGCTGCTGAAGGTATCAGTTTTACACAGATGCTTTTATCCCATCAATAAGTTATGAAAAACTAAAAGACTACATAGCATACTTGTTCACAAGTTGCCTACAAGCAGTTCCTGATTTTTTTATTGAAAGGAAAAGGGGGAAAATGGAAGAAAAGAAGGCTTCACACATTAAGAGCTTCAAAACAACAGAATCTCATTCACAAGGCTTCACACATTAAGAGCTTCAAAACAACAGAATCTCATTCACACTTTATGAAATCCTTATGTACTCTGTCATTTGGCCCTTTCAGGAACACATGTAATATCTAAATAAAAAATGCGATCATTTACTTAATGCAAAGTTATTTATTGCCTTCTTTTACATTAAATACTGCTTTTGAAACAAATTTGGAGCAAACGAAGATATAAATGACACTTCAACATAAACTGTATCCAAGAAAACAAACATAACAGAAAAACAGAAGTAGTGTGCTGCAACGACATCCTTGAACTTGTACTTGGACTAATCTAATTTCAAGTTTAATAATTTGCTAGTCATGGAGAGTGGTTTACTGATGAAACATAACATAGCATTTCCTGATATGCTAAGCCTCTGAAAGAGACTGCAGTCAAGTTCCACCAAGACACAGCAATAATGGTAAAAGGGAACTATTAAGTGCAACAACATAAGATGAAAACAATAATGCACTAAACTCGCCACAAAGTAAGAGAGCAGTAAAATGACAAATGAATGCAGTCCTCAAGTAGCGAAAATAAGTATTTCCAATAACAACTCATCAAGGGTTCTGGTTCTAGTTCTTCAACTACAAGTGTTGGAGATACGGGTGGCATTCAAAACCAATCCATCTACAGGATTAGTACTGAACTTAAAAGTTCTTTTAACTCACAACAGGCTTACAAAGGGCTTATATTAGGCATATTGCTAGACTAATACTTGTTGAACACAATAACTATCAATGCTACCCTGCAAAATAGGGGAAAAAGAGGAATACACTGCATCAATTTTACGTAAAATCTACACACTTTGACTGCATTGAGTACTTCTAGCTGGAATTTCCTGCATTCAGTTAACTTACCAAAGATTGAAATCATTGATACAAGCACATTGGCAGTTTTGGAATTACTTGGTCCTTTAAGCATATAAATCTCAAAACAGAATAGCAAAGAATTACCTAGGGAGAGTAATTTATAAATTATCCCTCTATACAAAATTGAAATTTGAAATCAGGAGACATAAAAAGCACTCAAAAGGAAAGGAGGGGGGTGATTGCAATAGAGAACTTACAACAATACAACGAAAAACTCCTGTTCACTTTAGTTCTCACTTAGTTCACTCCGTCCGAACTCTATAAAATTGAAAAGGATGGGAAATGTCAACATTTTTCCTATACACATTAGGGTTGCATAAGAATTGGCAAAACAACTTCACCCAGAAAATAATTAGATCTTGGAGAGGAAAAGAAGAATAAAATGTATCTTCAATCGGCATTTTTTGGTATGAATTTAAACTACATGACACATTCTTAAAACGAAAATTTAATACATCGGGTATAAAATTCCATTTACTCCTGAACCATGGATATCAAACATTGGATTGGCGTGTAAGAAGGAAAAATCTTTATGCCGTACAATGGAAACACAAAAATAAAGAGATCCATGTCAAGACATTTGGAATTACCAGATCTGTAAAAGGCATACACGCCAAATTGAGAGAAATAAATTACCACCGACAGGGGAAAAAAGAGAAACAAATTAAATCCAGGAAAGAAAAATATGCAGTGAACAGAAAAAAGAAAAAAGAGAGAACTGAGGGCTTACCGACGGCTTTGATGCATCAAAAAGAAGGTCCACCTTTTGCAGGAGCACTCTACCACCTAAAATAGTTAGTCACTCACTTAATAAGGGCTAGTAAAAAAGTAGGGGTGACAGTTATAACCCTTTTATGATGTCCAAAGAGGATGACGCTGGACTAAATGGCTCAGATTTGCATTGATGTATCATCCTTATCCCGCCAATCCACTAAAACTTTGTTTGCTACAAAGAATTCAATATGGGAACGGAATCGAGTAAAAGGAGTATTCAAATTATGGTGACATATTACCTACTTTTCTGGACATATTACCTACTTTTCCGGTTAATAAAGGGAAATAGCCGGTAATTGGAAAATTAACCCTATAGGTAATTGAATTCAGGATTGTAAATGTAGCCAAAGAAGCTAAAGTGGAAACAAATTAAAAGAATTTTCAAAATGTTAACAATATAAGAACCAAGGAAAATTTTAGTGGAAACAGGTTTAAAGAATTTTCAAATGTTAACTATATAGTAACAACCAAGGAAATGTTCTTCAGACTTCAACAAAACTCAGTGTACTCGATATTCAATTAACTTTAGATATGTCTACATAGATGGTTGGGGTTAGGAAATCGGTAACTTTAAATTCTAAGACGCCTTTAACAATCACAGACGTGCATCAAATTCTAAAAGAGAAAAAGGTGCAAAAAGCATTTTAACAAAAAAGCCGAATAAGATACATGCATGAGGAGATAAAGATTCATTAGATCTTTGAATCAAAAGTCAGAAGAATTCAGAATACACATCACAAACATGAAATTTCCAGCATTTGCTCATTATATTCTCCAGACATAGATTTACTAATGAGGAATGCTTTTTAGAAAAAACCATCATTTGGGTAACTTTATGATGTGCACTCAACCAGACAGAGTCCACCAGTGTAGTAGATACACATCAAACACTAGAATAATCAACCTTGAAAATGTAGATATCCCTGATAACTTCTACTAATGAAGACAAATATTCAACAATCTAGCTTAAGAAGCTTAAAACTAATGCTCATTAGAGTTAAAAAAAGTTACCAGAAGCAGAGATAGAAAAAAAAAAAAAACCCTTAGATATCTATTTTGATAAGCAAGAAAAGTATCTAATGATTTACCACACTACTACAATTTCTAAGGAACCTCCATGCCTCAGAGATTCTAGCATAGTTCAGCTAGTTCACAGATGTACAAAATCAGCGGCTCTCCATAATAAAAAGGCATCTACAATCAGTGAACCAACAACATATCACTAATATGTACGAGCCATAATGTGAGTCCATGCCAACTCCATAGCTGCTGCAGCTAGGTAAAATCATCCGCACAAAGAAACAACACTTAAATAAAACATAATGATAATCTCACTGAAATCACCCGGCAGATAACTCAGGGAATGACGAGGCATAAACGAAAGCATAAAACCGGCTACAATCCCCCCAAAAAAAAAATTGGAACAGAGCCAACACTTAAACGTTTTCATCTATGCCACATCATTGCTTGAGCAAGTTTATCGATACTCTGTCGGTGAAATTTCAGTGAGGAAACTATACAACCACAGAGATGCATTTCACTTCATTAGGCAATCAAGGAAGCTTTAGCCATGAATAATTTTGAAGCTCCACAACAACCTAATTGGAAAGCAATATCATGATTCTAGGTGGCTACAGAAGGTACAAATCTTGTCACAGAAACGGAATCAAGGATTTCCAAAGCTTTTCAACCATCCAAATCTTGCAAGCCAAAGAGCAATTTGAATGAATTCACCGGGAAGCAAAAGCAAAAAAAAAAGATATTAATACACAGATGAAGAATCCCGCTAAAAAAAAATAAAAAATCAATCATATAGGAAATTAAATTCGATTGTAAATTTGCAGAAAACAAAGCTAAAATATTTCAGCAATGAAAAATTCACACAGAACAATATTAAACTACGGGGGAAACTTATCCAGTCTTCTATAGGCTGCTACTGTTCGCGAACCAAAAAAAAATAAAAAAGAAAAGAAGATTGCAACTAACTCCCCTCATGTTTTTATAGTTTTCAATATAAACCCCCCAAGAGACTGATTATAACGTTTCACTGCTTTCGCCTCTCCAACTCCCGCAACTAAGCTCTAACTTGATTGGTATACATCAAAAAGATATTTTGAACAGACAGAGTTGTTTTTAACTGTTTCAACTTCTTCACATCTCCCTCCAAAACAAAAAGTGTGTTGGTTGAATTTAAAAAGAACTCTTCCAATGAGATGAAGGGAGTATAATAAAATTTGCATTCGCGATATTTAATTTCCTTTATTCATTAATTTTGATTAACTAGATGCATAGCTATTCTTCTTGCCACCTAAAATTCCAAAAAAAAAAAAAAACTAAACAATACATTATGAAAGAATAGAACAAGTAAGAAAGAAAAAGGTGTTGAAAGCCCATGGGATTGATAATAAGCAGAAAAAAGCAGAGGTAAATTGCCCAAAAAAATGAATAAGAAAGAACTAAAAGCATAGGGCAGTGAGATGCAAAAACAAAGAAAGTTTGAGACGGTATTTTGCAAAAGAGGTAAAACCTAAGGGCTTAGAAACAAAGTAACAACAACTTACTGGGTAGGAGAATCTTCTAAAACAGGGGGTAAACTCATAAAAAGTATAAAAAAGAAAAAAAAAAAAAAACAATTCAAAGCAAATGCAGTGGTTTTCCACTAAAACTCCCCACCAACAATATGTGCAAAACCTAAAGCTTTGATCTTTAGGCGAGTCAGGTAAGCAATGCACCAAAGGAACCAAAAAGAAGAAAGAAACCCAACGAGTTCGTAAAACCCTTCATAGAAACTCAGATATTCAGCCAAAAAAAAAAAAAAAAAGGAGCCAAGAATCATAATTTCAAAAACCCAAAATTCAAAAGTATTTAGCAAGCAAATGTAGAACACTAGAGCGTGCATGATAGCAAATGGTACCATTTCAAAATTTTTCTTCACTGAGCTCCGGGAACCGTTGGAACAGAGATAAACAAAGATCAAGTCTTTGAAGAGCTATTTCGGTTTGGTGTTGTGTTGATCTCTCTAGTGAGTTTCATATGGAATGGTAAAAGGTACTGCACGACGAAATGATGAGTAAATGTTTTGCAGTAAAAAGGACAAGAAAAAAAAAAATTGTACGAACAGAGTTATTGAAAAGGTGAAAGCTTTTTAAAATTGACATATTTTGATGTTGGTCTTTGATTTCCAATTTGGGGTCTGGAAAAGTGAAAGTTGCATTAAAAAGGGTATCTGGAATCGGAAGAAAGACAAAATTATTTCCTAGAGCAAGAAAAAGTTTTTTTTTTTTTTTGAAAATTTTTTGCCCAATTTGTATACTACTACTATTTTGAATTCAAGTATGAGGTGAGGTAATCCATTCTTTTGGTCATTCTCTAAATGGCTAATAAATCATTTTGCATTGGAGTTTTACCTTTTGATCAGTGTGGGTTAACTTAATAAAAAGAGAGAACAAAGAAGATTTTTTTTAAAAAAATAAAATGTAACATAACACAAGATGGTATAATCATACACTACAGAGGATGTGAGTATGGGAGCTGACGACCCTGGAAGCTGGAGCTTCTAAAAGAAAATCCGCTTCGACCGGAATCTGGTCGGACCACCCCTTAAGGAGCTTCTAAAATTGCAGATGTTGACAAACACAACAGAAAACCAGTGACAACTATGTCGTAAATCAAGCTATATCTATCAAAATTTATCATCAACCACTCCATGTGCAAGGGTGCTTTCAAGCTCCTGCTCCTGTTCCATCACTCAACTGCAGCGTAATCTTTATATTCATGGCAGCCAACTCTGCGGCTAAATATCTAAAGACATATGGCATTGCCACCGTCTCCATCCCCTTACTAGTCTTGCAAGCAACGCAGGTGACCTTCTTTGGCATTCTGCGAGGTGGTAGTCCGTACCTATCATTTCTAGGCAAAGCCAGTGGCTGCGACTGGATCACCGATGTCGTGAGAACGCTCCCACACATAGAGCAAACATCCGCAATGTGATAGTCAGAGCTAGTGTGAAGACGATCGTGCAAAAGATATGCTGCCCCATGAGCAAGAAGTGAATCTCGTTCCATTTCTCCGAACCTTACACCTCCACCGCGCTTTCGTCCTTTAATAGGTTGTCTGGTTACTTTATCTACTGGTCCTGTTGAACGTACCTGAAACTTATCTAACACCATATGTCGAAGTCGTTGATAATAAACAGGGCCAATAAATATTTCACAAGTCAGTTCTGTCCCGTATACTCCACTGTATAGTACCTCTGTACCATGGTGGTTGAACCCATAATGAGTCAATAAAGGACCGAGCTCATCGACTACTGAACTAGATGTAGATCCTTGTCCATCACTTGCGTTCTTCACTGAGCTTGCAAATGGAGTTGCATCCACAAAATTTCCATGTAAGGCACCCCCTTTAGCAGCAATTGATTCTAAAAGCATCCCAATTGTCATACGCGACGGGAATGCATGAGGGTTAATTATTAGATCTGGCCGCATTCCGGTGATTCCTGAATATGGCATATCAATGTCCGGCCAAAGCTGAGAGCACACACCTTTTTGCCCATGTCTGCTGCTGAACTTATCTCCAATTACAGGATTTCTTGGACGTCGAAAACACACATTCACCTTCTGTAAGTTTTGTTTGCCTTTTACATCAACTGCAACATAGTCTACAACAGCAGCCTCAGAACTTTTTAACTTGTTACCAGAAAATTGATTGTTAGATTCATCATAGATGCTGCAGAATTCTTCGCCTGGGTTTATCTTTTGGCCAACATAAGGAAGACCATCAGAATCAATCAAATCATTCTGATATGAATTATCATTTCGTCTTCGAAATACTCTCGATGAACTGGCAGAAAAGCGGCTCCGTTCAGCTAGGTCAATTGTTTCAGTCATATAAATATGACCATGAAACATACCACGGTCAACAGACGATTTATTCAAGACCATGGCGTCCTCCATATCATATCCTGAATATGCCAAAACTGCCACAATAGCATTAGTTCCTAAAGGGAAATCATCAATGTTGTACTTCTCATATGCCTTTGTGCGAACTATCGGTGTCTGAGGAGTCTGAAGATGATAAAGCTTCTGATCTGCACGGTAGTGTAACGCCTGTGATGGGAAACCCATGGTTTGCTTTCCCATCTGACACTGGTACATATTACGGGGGCTTTGGTTGTGGTCAGACCAAGGAGTAAGATTAGCAACAACACTTAGGATCCCAGTTGGATGGATTTCCTCATGAGTGGCAGGAAACATATCTTTTCTCCCACCATCACCTCCGTCCGGACAGCTTATTTCCATATAGACCTGTTCAAAGGGTCCAATAAGTTCGATGTTGTTGCCCTTTCCAGCAGGCACGGATATATTTCTCACAGGACGGACAAATCTTGAAGGGGATGTGAATAAATATAGGCCAGGGTATGCTCCACACATGCTCAAAGGAACATATCCCACCTCCAAATCTTTAGGAAAGAATGGTTTTGCAGAAAGCTTCAATGTCCGCAAGTAACTGACTGCACTTTCAACTATATCAGATGGTATCGTCCCAACAACACGTCCATCTAACATGACAGTAAGGACTTTAGGAGGACCAGCTTGGACAAGCTTTGGTAGTGATGGAGTCATTCCAACTCTAACGAGTTCACTCAAAATGGAGGTCCTATATTTTTGGAAATCCCTGATATTTCCATTTGGACTATAGTAAGAAGTGATACCTGAAACAACAGATCAGACAATTAAAACCAACTCAAACTTGAAAAATCATAAGACTGATAATTACACAAATTGGACCCACTCAGTTCACAAGGAAAAAAAAACAAATAACAAGACTCATCATATAAGTCGGGTATTTACATGAATGAATTGTTATAACAAAAGAATTTGAACTAAAAATAAGAAATTTGACTGCTCTTCATAACCTATAACGTGCCCTAAGAATATGGAATCCTGTTATCATTAATTTTTCCTTGTACGTCTACCTTTCTAGAAACAGGAAACTAACATAGGTATCACAAAAGAACACTTGAATGCAAGAGCAGACATTCTTACGACATGAAGAAGACATGTGATTCAGCAATCCACAGGGCTCCCCGTCGGGTGTGTGAACAGGACATAAGAAACCCCAGGATCTGTAAATAGAGGGGAAAAGAAATAGTTGAATACAGTACACCGAAATAAATAGTGTTGAGAGTTATTTGCATGTAGATAGAAAACGTACTCAGGGAGCAGCTTTCGAACACTTGTTGTTCTAAGGCCTGCAAAAGATGTCCCTCGATGTACAGCTCGAAAGTGTGACAAGTATCGCAGAAAATTTAGCCTCTCTGCCAAAACAGTCATCCCAGCCCTCTGGAAACCAGAACATCATTGATACAGTCAAAACATTCTTGTACATAAAGTAAAGAACGGGAGGCAAGAAGTTTCAAAGAGCAGCATAGTAATTAAAGAAAACATATTTAGAAAGCCAAAAATAACAATCATAAAATCAGATGAAATCAAGTTTGACATGAAATACAAATGCTTTGTTCCTGTAACACGCTAAATTACAGAAATAATCAAGATCTTGGATTTAAATATCAGTCTCATCAGACACATAATCTCCATACCGTCATGCATTGTATGATGAAATTTTTCTCTATCATTGACAGGTAAGCTCTAGCCGACCTTGTTGTAATTGGAGGGTAAGCTCAAACAACTAAAAGGCTAATTGGAAAGGCAAGCTTCACTCAAGTGGTTTAGCTTTCTACTTTGCGACTTTCATCACATTAATGAATTATTGGAGAAAGCCAGCACAAGGTTTACTAAGAAAGCAGATCATTTCTACCCGACAATCTATAGAAGCAATACAGTAGAGGTGGATTATACCTGTTGCAAATCCAAGCCTGTTTGCGTAACCAGCGTTCCAGTCTTCAACATATTTTCAATAGCCAAACTGATTTGTTTGGGAGAACTTTTATCAATAACCTTCTTGACATCTGCTACTGCAATAGCCAAAGGAAAAAATAATCAAATCACAAAGCAGAAACCAAGTACCAACAAGAAACCTAGGATAACTAGTCTATTAATGAGACAGAATAAAACAAAGGACATGCCCTATGTCCTAAATGACTAAAAATCACAAAGAAGATATAAAATCCCAAGAAGAAGAACATACAATTGATAAGATCAAACTTCTTGCCGTTTCGAATTTCATCTTGAAGAAGCCTCTTCACTTTGAAGAGCCAATCCTGTAACTTTTCCTACATATGTAACCAAAAAAAGTGATTTCCTTACCATACAAAATAGACGATCCAAGGGCAAGAACTTTGACGGCAAAAACAAACTACTTATTGGAGAAGGTTATTCTCTAAAGATAATTTTAAGTTGAGCTCACTGATGATACTTATCCGATGAGTTTCAGTTCAGACCAATTATAATATACCCTGTGATCTAAAACTTTGGGCAGTAATAAAGGGCACGATAAGACAAAGAAGACCACGCTCTTCTGCCAAAGTAATTGCTTAATTTTAGGTTGAATTAAACTGGTAATCACTTAATCATAATAGAATTCCACATCATGGACACAAATTATCAAACTGCAAACTCTGAACAATAAAGTCCAACAGGGAAAACAAAAATAGCCCAATACCAACGTAAATTATCATATAATAAGAGGCATATCATAAATCAAACCCTCTTATCTGAAATAATAAAGACAGAGGCTGGACCTTGAGATAGATGGTGATCAAGTGACCAGGCAACAAAACTTCCTGATTTTGCAAGGAATCTGGATTGTCTGGCATAGACGTCTGATCTACTAGAGAAAAAAGCTTCTGCAACATAAATCTTTGAAATGGAAAAAACAAAGAAATATGAGAACATCAACAGTCTGCAAAACCCATGAAGAAAAATAAAGGGGAAAACTTCTAGAAAAAGAGAGCCAATAAAAAGACAGAGACACAGGGGAACTAACATGAGCAAATTGAATTTGTCATGGTTGTTGTCAAGGTGAACAAATATATACTCTTTCAAAATAGCCTCAGCAACCTGCATTTTAATGTGTATTGTATAAACTAAGAAATCAGTCTGAAAGGAGTTTCTGATCTTATATAAACAGCTGCAATCACTTAAGTAAATCGCCTACTCCTTCAGCGCATAAGGAGCTGACTAAATCTAACAATAGTTGGGCTAAGAAAGGATGTATCAGCAATAGTACTTACGGAAGTGAAGCTCTCATCCTCCAGTCCAGTCATAATGGGTTTAAAGTGCTGCCCTGATTAGCAATGAGTATCAGTTAGCCAAGTTTGAATTTTGGTGAACATCTAGAGAATTATCAGAATAATGAGAAGAAAAGGGGTGTACCAATATGCCGTAGGCACTGGGTATGGGTAAAAAGAGACAAGTTCTGCACTTCATCAAGAATAATTTTGGCTCGTTCTCCAACAAGTTTGGTACCAACAGAACCTTTTACCCGCTCAAGATTGTCATCATAGGAACATGTCAAGCTGACATAAATTTCATGGTCGCTTGCGTCAATCAACGCCTACAAAGAACAACATGAGAGAAATAAGGAACAGTTGCTAAGGGTCTGTTTGATTCCTAAACTACCTCAAAAGGAAATTCATAAGAAAAAGTTACGAAAGTAAATATGCTGGAGACAAAACAATACCTTAAGTATAATGCCAACAGGAAGCAAATATTCCCTGCCTTGTATCCTAGAGCAAGAAAGAAAATTAACTTATTAGACAATTGAAATGGGAACCTGTGTAGGTCACTCCGAAGTCCTTGAAGTTTACAAGCAATCCTCACCAGAAGCCAAGTCTTGCACTTCCATTATTAAGATAATAGAGTTTCACAGACACAGCTGATTGGTCCACTCTAACACATCTGAAAACAAAACAAAGAGTGCATTGAGAAAAAATCAGATAAGAAAAATCCATGCAGGTAAGAAAAACTACTCAGAGAATGAAGTATTCTAGAAACACAATCTAACTAGTTCTTCCACTTACAATTTTTCCTGGTACAAAACCAATTTGTTATGGCTTTGGTATAAAACTTTACGAAATTCGACCACAACGAAGGATAGGAAAACAGACATAGACACGGAGGGAAATGAAGACACCGCAAAACAAGAGGAATCACTTATTCCAAGAGAAGCACTATTAACCATGTTTGGCACCAAAATGCCTTAAGGAAATGAAAATAACATGTGCAGTTATGCTAAACATCTTGCTAATTGACCGCCTGCAAAGTAAAATTTACTTCAAGATTATATTGAGAGTAAAATTCCTTACACAAATTGATGGAATGGAGGACCTTTGGGTCATTTAAAGTTCATCCCAGGCTAAATGGAACTATAACAGAATAAAATCCTATAGAGAAGAGCAGAGGATTGCTCCAAATAAGTCAATAAGTCAAATTTTGAATTCCGAGAACACTAAAATCATTTATAAGAAAAGGCTAAAATAATTCCTCCAAGAAAATCTCACTCCCCACTACCCATGCACATGGAACATTTTCACCAATGCACATTTCGATTAAATCAAACAAACATCTTACAACATCTTACTATCTTAGTCTATTAACTTTAGCTTGCCCAAGGAATCATTACTTAGGAAAAGGACAACCTGAACCTCCATTTAACTGAAAGTTTGACAAGTTAAAATCCCTTTCACACTGAATTCCTACATAAAGCTTAACTTAATCAAAATCATCCGGACCAACATTTAACGAAGTTATTTCAAATATGTGCATCAGATTGATGTATAGCTTGAACAAATTAGGCATTTTCACAAGGTGGGCTTTGCTACTTTGCCACCACAGTTGCAGTTCATGGACAAAATGAGAACAGCATAAACTACTCGCAGATGAAAAATCATGTCAATCATGTCAGCAGATAAGTCAGTAAACCACTTAAATCATAGATGTGGTAATTAAATAGTTGCCCAAAAACACAAAAACAATTACCTTATCACAACGGCTTTATCCGTGTATCCATCTCGCCGATCACGAAATGAATTTCGCACCATACTCATTGGCTGCAAAGCAATATTGAAAGATTTAAGTGTCAAAATAAATAACATAAAGGATGAGTATAAAAAGTGCCAAAGTAAATATCTATGAAGAAACTAGTCTGTGAACTGTGAAAGAGTACACATTTGAGTACACATGCTCATTGCCTTGTACAAAATAAAGTCAGATTCATCCATATGAAATCATTTAACTTACATAGTTTCGTTTAGGCAGAATAAGAAGTCGTGTAACTCTCTCCAGCCCGTTCAAGATAAAGTACCTGGGACGTGATATATATATTCATCACATTAACATGTATAATTATGAAAAAAAATTTCAAATAATAAACCCTTTTAAAAGATATGCTCAAGCATGAAACAGAACAGAAGGCAATTGTGTGCAAGACCAATATGGGACAAAACTAGCTTACTTACCCACCCATTTCTGATGGTTCCTCTTTGAGAGACACTAACTTATTGGATGAGGCGCCTCTTAGATTACAAAGTTTTGACTGCAAAAGAATCAGTCACCTTAGGATATCAAGCAACAAAATGTGAAATACCTGCCTTCCGGCATATCTACTTAAGCTTAAAATGATTACAGGTGAAATTAACGGATGTAACCATAAATCTTTCCAGAATAACTCAGTCATTCACAAAGAAAGATGAGCGACAAAGCTTTAACTGGAACAAGGGACTAACCTTTAACATTACTGGAAACTGGCCAAAATTAATTTTTTCTCTGATGGCCACCCCATCATCATACTGAAACACGACCTCCATCGTAAACATCCCTGTATACGGAATCTTAGCTTGTCTGCACTGTAAGAGTTCCAGAAGTAGAATATCAAATATCACTACAAGCACGTGCAACAATTTACCATCACAAATTTTAAACACGAACTAACCTCATAAGGATATAACGCCTCTTTCATTGAACGAGTAAGGCGTTCCTTTTGAGGTTGAATCACCACTGGACTTTCCAACCAAAGTATGATTCAAGTTAAGACAAACGAACTTCAAAAAAGATACATTGCACCCCCAAAAAACAAAAACAATAAATTCCACCCACAAATTGCTAACATTGAAGGATTATACTTGGGGAAAAAAACGCAGCCCACCACCATTTTATAACCGCATAGAACTTCAAGGTTAATAATAACTAAAAAAACAGATAAATAACCAAAGTTAAGAAATTTTCATGCTCTGACAATTAGAAAAAAGGAAAGAAGAAAAGGATATTTCTAAGCTTGGTGGAAGAGTCTTTAACTTGAATAGGCTTCAACATATCAACCATGGTTTTCAATCCTTCTTCCACCATGTAATCAAAAGAGTCAATCAGGTGCTGAAAGAGCTCCTCAAACGCCGAATAATCTTTCTCCATCGCTCTGTGCGGATACTTCATCGCTTTCGGAATCTCCTTGATTTCGGAGCTGCCCATCTCTGCGACTCTTTATTAACACAAAATTTGCAGGAATGCCGGCAAATGGGATTTGTTCTTCTTTGAGGGTTTTAGAAGGGTTTTACAGAACGGCCAGATTCTTGGGTTTATTGTTACACTTTCTCCGATTATTCTCATCAACGCAGCCAGGAAGAAAAGAAACGAAGAAAGATTTTCTCAGGACCTGGTGGTTCTATTGGGCTTAAGAATTCATCCTACAAGGCCTGGGATTAAATAATATAATGGGCTTTTCTAAAACCCGACGGATAAATTTTGGTTGGGCTTCCCAACCATTGGGCTCACTTTAGAACTTACTGATTTGTTGTCCATCACTAATTCACAACTGATTTTATTTTATTTTTTAATTTTTCCTTCTTTTAATACTAATGATGTCTGATCGCGCAATATATTCGTAAATTTTATAAATATTTGTATCTGAAAAAAAAATATTTTTTATTTGGCCCGATATATTTTAGAAATATTTGAAGAATTTTAGAAATGTTTTATAAGTGTGGTGTTTGTATTTGGCAAAAAAATAAATTGTATTTGGCCCGCTACGTTTTAGAAATGTTTGAAGATTTTAGAAATGTTTTATAAGTGTTACTTCTTAAATATAAATAAACTTGATCAACTATATGTCTTGAAGTAAATGATAGACAAAATATAAAAGCATCCTAATAAGTTTAAATATTAGTAAGATAATTTATTGATGTTCTCCATTGATTGTGCCAAATTAATACTTAGTTTTGGAGATTTATAATAGCTTTGTAGTTAGTTTCCTCCAAAGGGTATACGCTTAATTGTTGGAATTATTTCTTCCAAAAGTTTATAGGTAGTAAAATATCAAAAATATGATTTTGAAACTGGTTAATTGTTGAAACTGGTTGATCACAAATATGAAAATGAAAATAATTGTAAATTTGCATAGGTTTCAAGATATAGCAAAAAAGAACTCACCTCACTATGACAAATAAAAAAAAAGAAGTAAAAGATAGCCCATTAAAATTTGAGAGTTTTTTTTTCTGTAGGTAAAAATGATGTATAAAAACATAAATAAACGTATAACATCATTCCTTCCCTCTCCACCTCAAATTCATAAAAGGATTCCCCATAAATTAGTAAAAAGAAGAGACCTAAACTATTTATATGATTAGGAACTAAAAAAAGTCCAAAAACAAAATCCAAAAAATTATATTCTTGAAATCCCGAACACAAAAAAACGTGTTTCATTTGCAAATAAAATAATAATAATAATAATAATTGGTCAATTTTGAGTATGAAACAAAATCAAAAGCAATTAAACAAAGAAAAAATACACTTCATAATTGACCATATACGAAAAAAACCTGAGACTGCATAATAAAAAAGAAAAACCAATATAATTGAATGAAACATAAAAAACAAATTTAAAAAACTACACTTTGTAACAAAAATCCAATCAATCAATTCAATCCAAATATAACTAAAATCATACAAAAATTCTAGGCTAACTAACCAAATAAGAAATCACATCATACTACCTGACAACAGCTACGGTAGCTGTAACGGTTGGACGCATAAAAATAATAGTAATAACTCTATTCTTGAATGGGAAAAACAAAAAATAATAAAAGCCAAACCAATGATCTGTGGAAATAAAATCATTTAAATTTTAATACCTGTAATGGCACCACCACAACGGCCGAAGCAAGATCAATGAGATTTTTTTTTCCTTTGTTTTTATATAGAGAGGTAAAGAGAATATTTTTTGAAGTTGAAATTTTATCCGATTAAGATATAGTTGATCATCACTAATGAAAAAGATTAAACATGCTAATAGGAAATGAGTATATTTCACCACATATTCTCAATTGATGATTGATGATGAATTTATTTATTTTTTTTAATTGTGGAGAAGGGATTGATTAAGGAGTCGATTGTCGTAGAGACGGGGATGAGGATTTGGGGTTTTTATGAACCCGTGGAAGTGAATTTAGATTACATTTGCCTTTTAAATTTAAGAGATATGGAAATAAAAATTTATTTTAAAAATATGATGTGGAAATGTCACATGGTAAATGGTGATACTTTCTCTTAAGTGTGGTTTTTGCTTCTAATATAGTAAGATGTGGAAAAAAAAAAGAACAGAGTTTTGACTTTCCAGCCCAATGCAAACATTGTATGATTACAACAACAGTTTTGCAGTTTGAAATAAAGAAACCAAAAGGGTCTTGATTAAGAAACCTTCATCATCAACCCAGAGTTTTATTATTATAATTATACACCACAACTGCACAACAAGATGCCTTTATTCCAGGTCTGTAAACCAGATTACAGATACTATTTTCAACTTCAAAAAATGTTAAAATGTAAGAACTGCTATCTCTGCCTCTCCCACCTCATACAAGTACAGAATACAAGAGTTGCTATTCCTTCCGGTCAACCCATGTGTGTGTCCTGCCTACAGGGATTAACATTTTATCCAACACCCTCTAAGCGCTATCAGGTTGGAAGTTCAGACATTTCCAGCTGAATAAATGCAATTTACCGTCCAAACAACTCTATTTTCCGATCCACATCTGGAGTCGTACCTGTAGTAAACAAGATAAGGTCTTCCAAGCGTACAGGGAGGGAGCCTCTTTTGCCTACGAAAGGATCTGAAAGAGAACACCTCATTCAGTAACCGTGTTATCTAATTGGTTTAATCAAGTGAAAAAAAAAAGCAGAATGTTCAAGTAGGATTACCTTTTCAAGTCGAACTTAATGCATGTCTTGATAAGCACAATCTTCAGTAGCACCAGGCCACTCGTTATGTACCTCCTTCAAGTGACATTCCTTGGCTGAAATTTCAAACAATTATCAACTTGTTGAGGAGGGACTCATCAAGCATACCGTGGGTTAACAAGAATCCAAATACTATAACATTCACCTTGTCGTTCAGATTCATGAACATATAGCCCAGCGGTAGATGAATATGGGCATTCGAATGCTGATCCCAGGTTCAAGTATCAACACGCTGGAATATGGAGCGTCCCTCCTCTAAGTCCTGTCAAGGGGGGGAAAGGATAAACACTATTCATATTTCACGACAAACAAAGACTTGCTCAAATTTGTCCCTTCAAATCAGCCAATAGACTAGCAGAAGTTTTAACTGTCTTTTTCCTGCCTAATCTGGAACAAAGACCTAATCAAATCAAAAGTAAATTTTATGTACCTATATGCAGATGTAACAACTGTCTCTAGAGCATGCCGAGATAAGTTAAAATCTCAGAGCAACCACTTATCTTGACTTGCAAAGAAGATTGTCAACAAGGAAGCTCGTTCTGGTTCAATCTCACTGTTGGAAGTTTTGAGAATTAATCAACAGATTTTCAAGAAAAGCACAGAAGACAATTTCAATTGAGATCGGCATATTGACCTCTTATTGGAATAAGACCTTTATTCAACATGTCATTCTGCAAGACAAGAACTTCATTGATGTCACCAAGCTCCTGATATTTCATAATAAGTAACCATAGATGTCAACATCAGGATTGACACCATTCTCAATCATCTCTTCGAGAAAATACCTTGCTCGTTGGACTTCCCCACATTTACAGAGCCCTGATATCAATGAAGCATAAGCACAAAGATCAAGCTTCAGACCACTTTCAACCATTCTCTTATGCAGATCCAATGCATCAGCAACATTGCCACACTGCAAATTACCATTAATTAGAGCCGTATAAGCATTTTCATCAGGAAGTATACCAATCTCAGCCATTTTTTCAAACACCCTTCTCGCATCCTCAATATGTTTATTTTTGCACAAGCCATCAATAAGTGCTGTATAAACAACAACATTAGGTACCAATCCAACGTACTGCATCCTATCAAAACAATCAACTGCCTCCTGGACTACTCCAGAACGGCAAAAACCATCAATTAAGACACAATAAGTCACGCTCGTTGGAGAAATCCCGTTTTTCTTCATTTCATCCAACAGTTTGCATGCCTCGTCATATTTTCCTGTCTTGAAATGAGCATCAATAAGTATTGTGTATGTCACATGATTCGCTTCAATACCATGTACTTTCATTTCATCAGTTAGAAGCCTAGCTTCTTCCAACTTTCCTTGACTGCACATACCCCATATTATAGTGGAGTACAGAAATGAATCTGGAGCAATTTGACTCTCTCTCATTTGATTCAGAACCGCCATTGCATCTTCTATCCTTTTGGCCTTGATATACCCGTGAATAAGAGCTGTATAAATCTTCTCATTCGGAACTACGGCATCTTTTGGCATTAAACTAAACAGCTCTTCTGCTTCCTTCAGTTTTCCTGCTTTGCAGAGGCCATCAAGAACAGATGTGTAAGAGACAATGTTCATCTTGATACCTCTTTCCAACATCTCCTTAAGCAGTTTTAGAGCATTATCCAACTTCCCTATTTTACAGTTGGCATCAATCAAAGATGTATAAGTAAACTCGTTAGGAGAGAGACCAGCTCGCCACATATCCATGTAAATCTTGAGAGCCTGCTGCAACATGTTTTCTTTGCAAAATGCATCTATAAATGTGCTATAAGTTACAACATTTGGTTTTAAACCACTTTCCTTCATTTGACGTAAGAATTCAAAAGCTTTTGGCATTTTTTCAAACTTGCATAAACAATTAATCAATGTATTGAATGTTATGATATCCGGGCAACATCCTCTAGCCACCATTTCCTCATATAAAGACAACATATCATCCAATTTTTCAAATTTACCACAACCGTCTAAAAGAGTATTGTACGTAATTACATCGGGACTAACACCTGCCACTTTCATCTGTGCAAATAACCTTTTTGCTTCTTCCAAGTTCCCTTCTTTACACAAGATATCAATCATGATATTGTATGTATATACTGATAACTTCATTCCAGCCCCAACCACATCCTTGAAAAAATTCTTAACCAATGACCCATTACCATCCTTAGAAAGTCTACTCATAAGATGATTACAAGAACGCAGCTTTGGAAAAACTTTAAAACTCTTCATATGTACAAAGCATTGCTTTGCTTCGTCCAACATGCCTAACTCAATCAACAAACCGAACAAAGCATCAAAAACTCCATAGCCAGGAACACAAACATTCCTCGTTGACCACAACACATCAACTACATTACAACAAGGCGAAACCTTGATGCCATTATTCAACTTAATCAACTCTTTAAGAACATCGTTAGTTTCAGCATAAAGCCGGGAACAGAACAAAATGTGAGCAATAATACAATAGTTTTCCGTAGTGTGTACAAACTTTTCCCTAGTTTTCGCCCATTTGAACAGCTTCAAGGCTAACCTAGGTTCTTGCTTAAGCTCAACAAGGATTCTGGATACCCAAATGGGAGCTAAAGCAGACCTAAACAATCCCACAATCCTAAAATCATCCCATCTATCTTCCTTTACAATATTCATTATCATTTCTTTGTCTAACAGTTCACCATTCAGGCTAAATCCATTATAAGCCGATGTGGAAAATGGGTTCTTAAATAAACAACAAAAATTGGCAACCCAGATCAAGAAACCCTGTGAAAAAATAGCACATGAAGGAGAAGGCGAGTGGGAAACAGAACAATACTTAAAGGGTCTTACATGGTGAGGCTTACTGATGAATTTGATGCTGCCCACCAAGTTGCGGACAAATACTAACATGGTGGCTCCGGCAGTTAAACATAAAAGCCCAAATTCAATCATTGCCCCCATTTGTACTCAAAAACATCACCGTTCATTTCTTCTACCATGAAATCATGCGTTTTTATATGCAGAGATTAAAGAAGTTTATGGCTTGATGAGGGATCAAAATAGGCTGAAAAAAATGATGCTGAAGTTCAGGGTTTTAGGGTTTTAGGATTCAACAGCCGGAAAATCAAAAGAGTCGGAAGCAAGAACTGTGATGTACGAATGCTCTTTCGTTTGATTTGTGAAATGGACCAAATTATTCTGGACCCTCCTTGTGGACAAAATAGGTTAATCAAATTGGGCTGGTTTGCTTGGCCCATGGTTGATTATATACTTTGGCCTGCTACATTTGGGCTAAGTTTCTATTTTCTCTTTTTCTCTTTTTTTTTTTTTGTTCAAAAGTTTTAAAAGTTTTTGTAATGTACTAGGAAATGATGTAACCTTAGTCTTTTAGCCTCCACAATATATTAAAAAAAAAAAGTTTTAATCAACACAACACAAGTTTATTCTCAAAATAATGAAGCTGAGTTTAATCACGTGATTATAGAAAAGACTTTTTATTTAAAGAAAAAATAACACTTAAAATAAAAGAAATTGCTGCACCAGAAATACAAGTAAAAGATTTTTCTTATTAAACCTTTCTAATGTTACACTCAGCCAAGGAGAAAATTTCCACTTTAGTCAACTTAAGAGTACAATAATGAGTTTCTTATGGTACAAAGGGGCAAAGAAGAAGAGGGTAAAAAAAAAAAAAGAAAACCTTAGATTTCTTCACTCTACTTCTAAAACACAAAATCGGTAGAGCAGAGCTATTAGAATGTCTAAAATGTTTTATGAGCCAATCTAAACAACCTCCAGCAGCAAGCTTTCTCTGCTTATCAATGAATTTCACTGGATAAAGAATTGTTTTTCCTAATACAACACGCCCATCTTCTTCGCAAACTCGTCATCGTCTTCATCCAGATATTCTTCTTCTTCACCATCTAAATTTTCAGTTTCATCTAAATTGTAATTGTCTTCATCACCCTGTTCGTACTCTTCGTATTCTTCTTCGCCTTGATCATAGGCTTCAGGGTCTTGATCCTCTCCACCATCCTCCACAATCATTCCATCTTCCACTTCCGCTTCATTGATGTTGTGAGACAAGGACTTACCATCAGGTAATGCTTCTGAGGCAATTTTCCCATCCTCGGATTTGTAATCTTCATTCTTGTGAAGAGCAACATCGGATCCAATGTTTCTTGAATCAAGATCATGAGCCTCCTCATTTCTCTCTTGAATGTTGCTTCCAATACTGTTGGAAGTCTGATTCCCTTCAAACTCTGCTGTTCCAGCTCCTCTTTTTCGTTTCAATATCTCTTCCAAAGGCTTTGGCCCTTCAAATGACAGATCTTCTCCAGTTTGCTGTTGATAGTCAGATTTCATAAATTTCCTCTTCCCTGTCACTTGCTGATCAAATCCATCAGCACTTCTCTGACTTTTAAGCTCTGACAGACTTCTGGGAGCAGAAAAGTTGCCATAGTTGTCACCCAAAAAGTCCCTTCTCACCAGCGGACCTCTATCAATCCTGCCATCATTATTGGTGCCATCTTGCACCAATCCCTTTATTCTGTCACGCAACCGAGAGGACACCTGAGATCTGCCAGGAGATAATCTACCACTGTATTCCCTACCTCTTTCCACATCCCTGCTAAGCCGCTGATCAGTTCCATCAGTTGCGGGGATTTTTATCCTTCCGCGAAGCCGGCTGCTGAGAGAATGTTCCTGTCTTTCACGATCACGGCCCAGGTCCCTTTGACTGACCTGGTGCCTCCTTTCATCAGGTCTTTCGCGGGCAGAGTCATGATTAATAACTGATCTTAAACCATTTCCTCGTCTATGCTTTGATAAACGATGCCTCAAATCTGAATGATCCCCCTGGTCTGGACTATCACCTCTACCATATCGCCTCCTCTCTTGATGACCTAACCCACCTGACATTGGTTTGGAAGATCTGTGCTGCTCACTAGCATAACGGCCGTGAGGTCGCTCGTGTGAATCATAAGCACGTGAATCACGATACAAAGCGTGGTCTGCATCAACCCTTGCACTATAATCGGCAGAATGACCATCAAAGTACTCAATCATTCCGTCGCGATCCCTTGCTCTTACAAACTGATCTTCATTATTATGATAATAATCAGAATCTCCAGGCTCATTGTCCACCAGAACATCAAAACCAGGTGAAGGTTCCCTTGACACTTCTTCTGCATCTTTACCATTCAAAGTAGTTGCACGATGATTAACTTGCAGCGGTTGCTGAACACGATTGGGCATGTTGACCCGGCTCCCATCAATTGGCAATCTAGTGTCAGTAGGTCTATTCCTATGAGGCTCATCAACAATGCCAGAAGAATGTTGAAAAGTTTTCTTACTACTCAAATCCTGCTTGGCAGAAGCAGGTTCAACTTTATTGATCATATTTGTCTGATTAGTTAACTCAACAGGCTTCAGATTATTAATGTGAGGAGCCTTCTTCTCTTCAGTGCACTTTTCCAGGCCAAACGTCTTCTTAAATATTGAAGGTTCTGTAGCCGGGACAGCTGCCTGAGTCTGAGGAACTTTGTTACTTGCCGGATTTGTTCCATGAGAGAAAGGACACCAGTCCCCCTTAAAACAAGTCCCTTTCTGAAAAAATATGCAAGCCACTCCTTGTTTACCAGCAGGAAAAGAGCCAGAGGCAGGAGCAGTGGGGGCTATTGCAGGCTGACTAGCAGGTCCAGGCGCACCCACGGGATTGGGCATCTGGGTTCCTAGTAATCCATCAAGAGGCTGCAGAGCGAGGAAAATTATTAGTATTAAAATTACTGATCATAAAGTATGAAAAATAATACTCATAATCAAGCAAAGGAAATAAAGATGAAATCTGGTAGAGAACCCTAAAAATATATATAAGAAAAGTTAAAATAAGAAATTATATAAAGAAAAAATCCTTCTCAAAGTCAGGTATTACTTACAGGATGACGGAAGGAACATTTTGGATTCAAGCAATTGCCGTTTAACCAATACCAGCAATCTCTTGGGTTCATCCTGGCGTAGTCGCTGTGTCTGTACTCGCACTCACTCCCCTGATAATTGTAGCAAACACATCAGTAATAAAGTCCAATCAAAACACAATAGCCAGAAGAAAATAAGTTCCACTACATATTAAAAGGAAAAGAAAATCCAAAGAACAATCTTTTGACCCACATCACATTATTCATGCTCCAGGTTAATTCCAAGCAAACACACCAGTAGCCGCAGCCAAATAGTAAAAGCAAGAAATAAAGAGAAAGGTCTCATCAAATCAAACTGAACATGCGAATAATTCCAGGACAATCAGCTCTCGAACTAATTCAGGTAGCTTTGAACTTCAATCAAACTAACTCTACCAATCTAGCGTTTTCTATACGGCTTTATTCATACTGATTCTGACAAAGACACATCATATCCACTGTCAAGAACGGAAAATCACTCGATCAAATAACTCAATCCAAAGATCTAGAAAAAAATTTACTAAAAAATTAGCGAAAAGAGAGCAAGAAATTAACAATTAAAAAGAAGTTTTAGGAAAAAAAAAGCACGAACCTTTTTACAGGTCAGAGGAGAAGCAAGAAAGTAGACACAATCCGTATTTCTTTTGATGAAAGCTTCGTCCTCAGCGGATAACGGCATTCCTCCCGTAGCTGACCCAGCTCCCTCCGCGCCCGCCGCCACTGAAGAAACAGACGGACCAGCAGCCGCCTCTGGTCGTATCGCCGGCGGTACGGTACCTACCATGACGGAAGACGACGGTGCTTTATTGCAGAGACGGCGTCAGAAAACGTGGAATCGGGGCGAATTCTGGTTTGCTACCGCAGCTTTGCCCCCCAGAATTTCTTCAAAAGAAATAATAACAATACTGATAAGATCGGATCTAGGGTTTTCAGCGGCGTATGGTTAAGAATCTCAGATAATGAAAGGGGGGAGAAATAAATTAGTAAATTTATATGGGGTTAGAAAGTTTCTTTTTAAAGAAGAGAAACAAAGAGCCAAAGAAAGAAGAGAGAGTTTCAGTGTGTGTATGTGTGTGTGTTATATAAAGGCGTTTCCTTTAAAAAAAAAATAAAAATAAAAAATCAGGAGGACCTATATGTATGTTTTATTACAGTACTACGAAATTTCCCATTTTGCTATTCCGTTTACAAAGTTGAAAACCTCTATATAATAAATAAATTAAAAAATATGTTTAGGCTCCAAAAATTTTATTAATACATGTATAGAGTTACTACTAATTTAACCAAAGGAAAATTCCCAAACTTATTTGCTCTTACAAGAATCAATCCTTCATAATTTATTATTGTTATTATTCTTTTTTATTTTTGAAATTTGAGAAAGTGACACCATAACTTTTAAATGCAATGCAGCAAAATTAAAAATAAATACATAATAGTAAATTCAAGAAAAAAAAAATCAAATGTTGTTCTTACTAATCTTTTGAATTATTGTTATTTTTTTGTATTAGAGGTAATTATTAATTCTTGATGTTTACGAGACATATTTTTATAGAAAATTTTCGATCAATTACTATCTTATTTTTTTCTATTTTTCTTCATTCGTTGTTCTTGCTCAAATTAAGATTGGAAAAGATAGTGATAAATAGATTCCGCTGAAAATTGACTTCCAAACGTAGTAAGTTTTCTCTTCTTTTTTTTTTTAAAGCAAAAAGACACCTTCTTAATTGATAGTATTAAATTAAAAATAAGAGAAAAAATACGAACATACAGTATATTTTTTCTGTTTTAGTTTTTCTTTAAAAAAAAAATTTAACAGTTCAAAAAAGAATAAAAAATTAGAACTAGTAGGAAAACAACTGAAGAGCCTAGTACAGTTTTACTAACACTAACTACAACAGCTTCACTTTGTTGAACAAGTATGTTTGCGGAGCTAATATTGCATAGATGTAGTATATTGTCGGCTTTATTTATTAGCAGGCAATCAAGGTTGTTCTAGTAGTTTATGAATTCATTCATGAGTGGATATAACTTGGATGTTCATGGTTACCCATTTCAAATTAGGATGTTGACCATAAAAATGCTCTCTTCAAATTGCATTTGAAGCCTCTACAGGATATTTAACTTGGGTGCTGAACTAGCAGTTTTTTTCTACAAAAGGCATATGAAACAAGAGTATACACAATCACTGCCAACAGCATCGAAACACCTGAAATGATATCGGTGGCCTAAGGAATTCCCTACTTCAGGAGCACCAATGGCACCAATTCCAGCAGCGAAACGAGGATGGTATCCGGCCAGTCGTGCGGATATATTCTGCTTGCTTCTCTGCTTTAGCTGCACGGCGGTTTCTTTTTGCCTCTGCTTGCGCATGCCTCTCTTCGGCCTTGTGCTGCACACTTGCTAGCTTGTTCATTAGCTTATCTTGGGCCTTCGCTCTCATCCTTTCTACCTCAACCTGAAAATAATTGCCAAGAACTAGGATTAGATTGGACAATCCTTCATCTTATACAACATCTGATGATGAAACTTTGATATGGTATGAACAATATCTCTACTCCACCCTGTCTGCTAGTCAAAGTAGAGAGACAAAGATATGAATTCAGATGAGATCATAAGTTTTACAATATTCACATTGAAGATCATCGAAAAAGATCAAACTTGAGCATGGCCGTAGGATAAGGATGTCATGTAAGTGACTGTTTGTGACAATAGAAAGTATGCTGTCACCAGCCCGAGCAATTTTAGGATGGAAGAAGGAACTTGCCTCAGTTTTCCTCATTTCAGCTTCTGTCTTTGCTTTCTGATGATTTTCCCATGCTTGGATCCTGATTTCTTCCCTCTTAAACCTAAAATGAAAAAATCAACTATAATTCTGGAGGTCGCTCGCTAAGATACATGATATGCATATGCATGGCAATGCATAATGAAAAGAGTAACTGTGATTAAGTGAGACAAAGAACAGAGGAATATCACAATGTATGTTGTAGGAGAGAAATAACCTGGCCATATACTTGGCTTTCTCTGCTTCCTCCCAAGCTACTGCCCGCGTCTCAATGACACTCTGAGATGGTTGCTCTGTAGCAACAGTCTTAATGGATGCCAAGGCTTCTTTATTTTCATTGTCCTTGCTAGCCCAGGCAGCAATATTCATCTTGCCTAACTGTGTTCCAAGAAGCATAATCTCTCTGCGGGTTTTCATCTGGAGTTCTTTTTCAGAAGACTCCTTAATGTCATCATCCAAATGCTCATTTGAAGGATCACCAGGAGGCATAACTGGGGCAGCTCTTCCTGGACTTGAAGGCATAGAAGTTGAAGGACTTCGAGTTGGTGTAGTTGCCCTGACGGGTGTGCCAGTCCGAGAAGGTTCTTGGCTAGCTATTGGAGTCATTTCAGTACCCATATCTCTCATTGACACAGATCTAGCAGTTGAAGGTGGTGGAATAATCGCCGTTGCACTATGGACAGCAAGAGAGGAATCATGACGGCTAAATGCCACTGCCAACAACAATGTCATTATCTTTAAAAGTTTTACATATATTGAATCATTCATCAACAAGATATAGGAGGACCTTGGTCGCTAAGGGACACATGGTAAAAAAACCTCTAATAAACACTAAAGCAACAGCATTCTATAGCGCATGTAGAACTCATCTAGACATGGAAAAGTAGAAACTAGAGATCCGTTTTAAAGAATTAACCGATTTGATCCCCATAATCTCAACTTTGAAAAGTAGAAACTAGAGATCCGTTTTAAAGAAATAGAAATAAAAATACAACAAAAACACCAAGGAAACAATTGCCTTACTTGCTGATTCTCCAATGAAATTGTCCATCATGACAACAGGCTTGCTATATGATTCAGAAGTGCACTGATAAGCATCCCAGTCCACAACCTTCTGCATCCCAGATTGCTTCCTCGCCAGGCTGGAGTCAATCTGCTTGGTATCAGGCTCATCATATGGTATCATTTTTTGATCAGTTACTTCAACAACTACCTTTGTGGAAGACTGGCGACTACCATATCCAAAATAACTACCCTTGCGTGATCCAATCCCTTGAGTGGGCTGTCCATTTTTCGGTAGGTTTGCCGTCGGGCTCGCTATCCACTTTTGTGCATCATCCCATTTCGATGGGGCAGGTTTCGAAAAGGGTGCAAGGGGAACTCTTTGTTGAGCCCGTTCAGACTTCTGGAACTCAAAGGCTGAAGAAGACACACTCGTAGCGTCATTCCCACTATCGTAATGCATAGAACTCTCATCTGTAGATCTAACTCTTGAACTAACAAGGGAATTATCCTTCAATCCACTGTCATAACTGATCTCGGAATGCGCAGATATTTCTGGCGTTGCTACAGTTGGGAATCCGGGAAGTACACTGACCACATCTACATCCTTGCAATTGTCATAACCATCATCTCCTAATTCATTCAACAAATGAATTTATATGAATTTATAACCAACGTTAGAGATTATGCTCTACCAAAAAAAAGAACAAATCATCAGCTTCCAAACTTTTAGAATCTAAAGAAAATCCAAAGATTATTGTTTACACCTTTTTATTTGACAGCTAGAATGATAAAAAAAAAGTTCAACACAATTAGGGGGAGGAAAAAGTACAAGCACATATGGTCCTACCACATATATGGAGATTCTAATCCACCAAACACTTTTACCTTTGCAACCCCCCAAATTGAGATCATTTTGACCAGCAATACTTTATATTCCCCCAAACAGCACTATTGATTACAACACTAGAGCATATGATTTATCCCAGGATTTAAAACACTCCAATGCATGTAAATGTCTGATTGCAGAACCCACGAGCATAGAAAAATTTGCTTACCAAAATCTTGGATCTCGAGTCCTTGGGATCTCATGGAAAGACTGGTGCTTTCAAGCTCCTCATCTAAGTAGTCATCTTCACCACCAGTTCCCTGTGCTCCCTTCTTGTCGGACCCACCTCCACCTCCTCCACTCCCCAGAATCATAGACCTCAATTTCCCAGGAGATAACTACAAATAATAAGAAACCCAGAAAGATTATAGGGATATCTATCTATGGATGGAAAACGATATCACTGGAAGTGGAAAGGGTTGTGAGGAGTTCAAAGATTTGACGGATCAAAAGGGCATTTTTTTTATTTCTCGAAAAACTAAGAACAGAGAAAAACATTACCATTTTGAAACAGCAAAAATGACAAGTCAGTCGCTGTACATAATAAAACTATACCAGTAGTATAACATTGGGAAACGAAAAAAAGCAGTCGTACTATGGCAGCAACATTTGGAAAAGAATCCAAACCCAAAAAAAAAAAATTGAAAAAAACCCAGAAGAAATAAATGAGAGGGAAACGAAACAATATAAGCAAACCTGATTTCGCAGCTGGGGCGGCCTCTTTTGGATTCTTTCATAATCCATTAGTTGAAGAAAACAGTTCTAATGTAGTTTAAAGTTTTAAACTTTAAACTCTGTCCTGCATTAAGACTAAATTGAAGTGTTTGTTCATGGTTTGTCTGTTGTGTTTCCTTGATGACTGAAAGAAAATATTGGTGTCCCCAATGTGGAACAGTTCACAAACTAGAGGAAGAATGAGGGGACCAGAGATGAATACAGTGAATTTGGAGTGTGAAGGAATAATAGAACATGATATATAGTGTTACTTTTGTCATGGAAATAATTGAACTGTCAACTCCGGATCTACTGGTAGTATTTAAAGTAGGCTCGTAGGCTCCCGTTACCCGCATTCCAATCACCTCTTGAAACCAGTTAAATTAGTCTAAATTCTTAATTAGTACTACTCATCTTTTACTTGGAAACCACTTAGTAACAGTTTTGATGTTTAACAATATTCGGGACGTTTTTTAGTGTCATTGCATCTCAAATTCCGGGTCAAAAATGGAATAGGTCTGAGAGGTAATCCAACAATTTATACAAACTAAAATAAAATTAGAGTTATTGGTACATACTACATATCAGCAGAAGAAACTAGTCAATTATTTCTCCTTCCTCGTCTTGAGGTTCTCCACTTCCTATTTCTTGAACAAGGCTGCTGTTATTGTCATAATCATCGTTGTTGCCAACAGGCTGTTCTATTTTCCCTAAAACTGGACTATATTTTTCACTAGAACATTCCTCCAAATCTAAACCATTTGGTATTTCAGTCTCCTTAATGATGACTTGAGGGAATTTCAGTTCTTTTTCGGGCCAACCTTTGAAGAAAGAGTTCAAAACCATGAATCTACAAGCTTGGAGAAGATGGTGTTGATCCCTCTTAATGTCTGCACTTAGAAGCTTCTGCAATAGTGTAGGCTCCGATTTCCTCGTTGGATGTTGAGCATTGTCATTTTTCGGCCGCTTCATTTTGGGACCAGAATCATCCGAGTCATTTCCATCAGATGCATGATGGTTTGAGAAATCTTTCTTGTTAGGGAAAGAGGGTTTCTTATCAACTATTCCTCTTTTCTTGAACCGGTTCTGGAAATTTTCTTTCTTGCTAAATGCCTTTCCACCACTTTTCTTTTCATGCACTGGTTGATCCGGATTCGATAGATAATACGATGGTATTTCAGCTACTTCACATCCTAATTCAGCCTGCTTTGCCAGAACCTCCTTCAGTTGCTGAAAGAGAAAATAAAAGAATCACAAATACGATCACCAGGGAAAGGAACAGTGCAGTGATGAAATACGTGCCCCTTTTTCTCCGAAGAACGGAAGGGAAAAAAAAAAGAAGCTAAAACGATAATTTGTTACAGTCTAATTTTACCACCTCACAAGAGAAAGTCTAACCTATAAATGCAACAGATTCATTTGAAATCATAGCATATCAGCCCACTCTTATTGCACACCTAACCAGTGGCAAAAGGAATTATAATTCTTCTAAACAATTCCATCCCTCAACATAACACTCAATGTGCTTTAGTGAACTATAGTTGCTTCTGTATCATCTTATCTCATGGAACTGGGATGTTTGTCATAGCTAGCAGATTATAAGGTAAAAAAAAGTAACTTAAAAATAAAATCTCTCTTGAAATTTAACAAATGATGGGCTTTACCTGACGCCGCAATTGGGCAACTTTATCAAAGACCTCCGGCTTTGTCATCTTCTCCATTAATTTCTGCAGCAAAAAGAGATATAATGTGCAATCATCGTTATATTTAGCACTAAAAAGAAAGATAATATCAATAACCAAAAAAAGAGGAAGAAGATTAAAAGGTATATAGATCGCAAAACCTTCTCTATGTTTGCTTTTGATGGATAATGTTTACGCCGTTCTTCACGCCACTGTTCGATTTCTTTATCAGTGTAGTTTAATGTCACAATTCTTCAATTTGCAAAGCGAAATCCAACAGGTATTAGAGAACCCACCAATTAAAGGAGAAAAGATAAATTATATGCATAAGGTCATGTCCGGAGAGAAGAAACTGGATATCTAATCTTCACACCACGGTTGGAGTTCTTTATCAGGGTAGTTCAATAATCAGTGTCACCAATATCCATATCTTTATTAACCAATTTCCCAACTAATGACTTAATGCTATCTCTGAGGATCGTGTAAGAAATATCAAAGCATCAAAATATATACCTCTTTTCTTCAACTTGATCTGGTATTGCAGAATTTACCACAGAACTTTGTCTTGCTCCGCCATTGCCGTTTCCTATTGTTTTCGGTGGGTGGGGAAGAAACAGTAAGACATCAAAACATTTAAAAATCAATCTGGGAACTGATTCCAACAGAAAAACAACAAATGGTGTACGTATATAATACAGACAACTAAGAAGGCCAAAGAGAAATAATTTGGTGTAACTAATTTTGGGGAATTAAATAATTACTACGAGACCATAGCAATCTAACGTAGACAATTAATTATGGATCATGTGCCAACCCTTATAGGCTTAAGGTTTTTGCATCACTTTGTGACAGGAAAATATAGAATGTTTTAACCGGTGTAAAAATACTACGTGACAGTCAACCTTTTCTTGTCTGCACATTAGGAGATCTGAAGTTTCCTTTAGAGTTGTGCATTTTCTGAAACCGTGGCTTCATAGTTCTGACAAATAAACCAAAAGAAGAAATCATGTTTAGCTGGATTCCAAGTAATTGAGCAAAACATAACAAAACCAAAGGATAAAAGTTTACCGACTCCCTGATGCATCATGCTTGGAAATCGATTTATGGTTCTTGTTGTGAGCAGGTTTTCCATTATTCTTCGCATTTTTTCCCATTGCATTTCTCTGACTCCCCTGCAAAAGCTAATAAAATCTTCACTTCACCACCCAAAAAACTAGATAATAATAAAGAAAGGGAAAACCCCTTCATGCAGATGGTAAGCTTGACAAAAGACCAATTCCAGAAGATATACAGTTTTTATGCCTACAAATTGCTTAATGGGGTAAAATACACACATTCTCACTCAAACAAACAGGCTAGCCACAATTCTATCACTTGGGCGTTGATCAAAGTGACATTATCACACACACATCATAATCATAATCAATCCCCGGTTTTGAAAGGCTGCCTTCTTCACTAGGATATGGGGGTAGGGGCGTTTGTGCAGGGGAAAAAAAGTGGAAGAATCACACACATACAAAATAAAAATTAAAACTTAAAATATAAAAACAAAAAACATTCAGCAAGACAGCAAAAAGCACAAAACAAAACACTATTTCCCGAGTTATTTATACTAATTGAACATGATTGCAGAAATAATAACTGGACCTGAAACTTTGCAGGCTGCGCGTGGAAATTTGTTTGATTCTGCGATGGTGGAGCTGGTCCAATCCCCTGCCCTAAACTGGAGCTTCCAAGCATTTGTTGGGCATTAACAGGGGTCCCATTGGATGCAATCATACTTCCCCTGTTTTGTGCATGTGCAATTCCCCTGGGATCAACAAACCCCATCTGACCATTCCCCGCAAAGGAAGCATTTTGTGGAATATTAAAATTTGCAGGTAGAGGATTCATATGGAAACCAACACTTTGAGGAAGACTGAGGTTGACAGGCTGAATATTTCCACAAAAGGGAACATTTTGAGGGATAATAATATTCGGAGGCTGCTTATCCGCAGTAAAGGCGACATTTTGAGGAATATTAAGATTTCCAGGCAAAACTTGGTTGTTCAGGTTAAACATTTGGAGCTGGAAAAGCTGGTTGGCATCTATTTGATTAGGGAAGCCCAAATAAGGGTTCTGATTCACAAAATGAGGACCCATGGAATGGAAAGGAAAATTTTGTGGCATCCCCAGACCATTGTTCACATTGTTCAGTTGGTTCATTGCAGCTGGGTGATTTAAGCCTTGAGGGTTTTGTACTGGATAGAAATGGTTTACACCACGGGAATTTGAACTACTAGCCGGGTTCATTGCTTGTGGATTGAAAGATCTCACTTGCAGCAGACCTCAAACAAAATTATCTGGAATGGCCATCACAAATAATTTCAATGAGAGCTTGCCCAAAAACATAAAGTAACAGAAAGCTTATGTATTAAAAAAATAAAAGATGAACATTTTCACATTCAGATACATTATTTTTCACTTTAATCCATCGTTAATACTAAATGTGCTCCTTCAACAACAAAGAAGGGAACTTTCTGGGCCAAAGTGAGGAATTTGTTTGTAGAATTCATGCATTAACAAGTTCCGCATCTGAATTCCTAAAAGAAGCTATACATTTACCCAACAGCCTTACTGTTAAGAGTTCAAAAACGAATCGTTAGGGCAATTTTTAAGCCGTTTTCAGCGGCTCATTTGAATGGCTCAATAAAAATACCTAATTATAAGCTCGCAGATTTCACAAATCATATGTGGATTCGAGAAATTACCAAGCACCGATAGAAGGAGGGCTGGCGGAGAGGCCCTAACTCATACTTTCGACTTCGAAGTGGAAAACCAAGAGCCAGAGAGGAAGAGAACAGGTAGAGATTGCAGGAGTATATTGATGGCGGCGTTAATGGAGCCCGTGGCGGCGGACCGTCGGCGACGGCGGACTGTTAAGCTGAGTGAAGGAGGGCGAGGAGTGAAGACTGTCAAGTCGGGAATTTCTGTGCGCCAAAACAAATTCGGTCAAAGAAAATTAGTTAAACACATGGCCCGTAGTCTTTTCACAATCAACCCTTGTAATTTCAAAATCTTATAGTCTCCTCCCTGCTTGTCACTTGACCCAACCAATTTTTTGGTATCGTCGAGAACTCCAACAGAGATGGGTAAATCCACGCCCACTGCAAAAGTCAGCAAATCACAGTAGGAGATAAACCACCTTAGATAGGGTATCAATTCGAGTGCGAAATCGGGAGTTCATTAGTGGATTAGTGATAACAAGTCCTTAGAAGTGTCAATAGACAAAAGAACCAATCCATCACTTTTTGTTGAATTGGGGGTTAAACTCATGACCTACTCTTGGAGTAAAAGTGGTTTTACCGCTAAACCAATTTTAACAACTAATGATTTTTCACGCACAAAAAAAAAAACTCAAAAGAATTTTTTTTTCCTTGGAGGGTAACATTTTCAAACGTTATTGATTCTACTCTCAGATACACTTTACTTTCTAGTTTCTATTGTGTAAGTAATACTTTGCAAGCGTAGCTCTAAAAAATTTCTTTCACTTTTGTAAAAACTTTTGAATCACATTACTATTTTGTTGATGGGTTTGAATTCTTTTGCCTTGCTTTATATTTCCTATTATGTAAAATTAGTACTTGTCCCACGCATTATGTGGGTGTGTAAAATGAGAGGAAAAAAAACTGAACTTTTCCTATAACCATCACCGGTACTGCAACTGCTAAACTAAATCGTTCAAATCAAATCAATTAATGAAATAGTTGAAATTAACCTATACATGTTGTGAGTTGAAAGTTTTTATTCAAACAGAAAGGAATCAAAAAACAAAAGAGAAGAAAAGAGCGTAGGATATTAAGCTTAATACCTCCGATAGCGACAGCGACGACAGAGGGTATGACAGTAGCGGCGGCGGCAGTAGCGGCAGAGAGCGGTGGCATAAGAGGCAAAGGAGAGAATTTGAGAGGCAGAAGAAAAATCTACTTTGGTGAATATTTTACATTCATTTTATTTATAGAGGAAGAGAAGCATATTAGAAAAGATTAAATGAATCATATTAGAGAATATTACAGATTTGGAATATTTGATTCTGATATATATTTTTTAAATACAAATATTTTAAAATTTAAAACGTATTAAAGAAGATAATGATCACATTATTTATTTTTTCAAAAATAAATAAGGTAAAACATTAAAATAATAAAATCTAGATTAACGGAATTACCAAATTACTTTAACCGTTTAATGAAACTCAAACATGGATGTGACACGTGTCCTTAAAAGCTATTGATGGTCTAACTAAGTTGAATTAACTTCTGCGAACCACTCTCCTTTAATATATACTAGTGTTTACCCCACAGGTTGTGTGGGTTATTCAAAATATATATGAGATTAATGATTTAACAATTATATGAAATTTTCGACGGAGCGATATATGTTAAACAAAAATTATATTAATGATATAAATTATAATTGTGTAATTTTGAATGTCACGTGTTTTATTATTTTAAGTACATTTGAAATACTTTCCAATATTTGAAATCATCCAATATAACATATTGTTCACCTTTTTGCATTTTATTGATTTATGATTTTATATTTTTTAAATGTATTCTCTTAATTTTTTTATAATAATCTCTTTGAATGTTTTTACCTGTGCCATATATCTTTTAAACACTCACTCTAACATGAAAATTTTTCACTATTTCTTTATGTAAACTTATCTTTATTTTCCATCTTTTTGTATACCTTTTACAACCTTCAGAATTTTGTTTGTATATTTTTCCTATAATATAGTGCTTACTATTTTTTCCTACATTTGATGACCTCTCCTTAAATATTATTTTCTTGAAAATTAACACATAACTATCAAAATTAATATTAATTGGTGAATTGATTTTTCTCACTTTAACCGTCAATATTTTTTTTACATCAAATTATTTTTTTAAATTATTTTTAGTTGGCTATTTTTGGGTTTATTAGTTTGAAATTTCTTTTTGGCCACCGTTAAATTATATTACGTAAAGAAAAATACTTATATAGAGGAAATATTTATTACTAGTTTTAAACTATATTATCTTTGGATTTGTTGGGCCACGGGATCATTTTTCCCATGATTTTATTTTTAGTCCATGTAACATAATGGATGAATTGGGAGGGATGCGGAAATTATTTTCTTTTCTTGTGGTAATTAAGTAATTGGTGATTGATATGGTTGATAAAAAATATATTATTTATTAAAATTTTGAGAAATCTCTCAGTTAATTTAGTTTTATCTATAAATTTATAATTTTACATTAAAAATTACTATTAAATCATAGACTGATGTGGTTGCGGCATGTGGACTTGGATGTCTAATTTTACGCTACGTGGATTAGCCTATCAAAGTCATTGCTAACGAACACGACAAGCCGATGATTGCTGTCAACTACAAAGGCGAGACAAAACAATTTGCTGATGAAGAAATCTCGGCTATGGCTCTAACCAAGATGAAACATATTGCTGAAACCTACATTGGGTCCGAGGTGAAGCGCGCCGTGGTAACCGTCCCGACCTACTTCAATTATTCGCAGCGTCAGGCTACGTTAGATGCGGGACAAATCGCTGGCATTGATATCATGCGTATTATCAATGAACCTACCGCTGCTGCCATCGCTTACGGACTTGATAATCTTTCCGGCACAACGGGGAAGAGGAATGTTCTTGTATTTGACCTAGGTGAGGTACTTTTGATGTGTCAATTCTCGCCATAAAAAATGAGCACATTGAAGTAAAGGCTACAGTTAGGGATACTCATCTTGGTGGAGAGGATTTCGACAATCGAATGGTGAATCATTTTAGCCACGAATTCAAGAGGAAACACAACAAGGATATCAGCAGGAACCCTAAGTCATTAAGGAGTTTAAGGACCGCTTGTGAAAGGGCAAAGAGAATCCTATCCTCTTCGTCCGAGACAATGATCAAGGTGGATTGCTTGTTTGAAGGCATTGACTTCTCATCATCTCTCACCCGACCCAAATTCGAGGACTTGAACAAGGATTTATTCATCAAGTGCATCGAGACGGTCGAAAGGTGTTTGGTAGATTCTCAAATCAATAAGAACGCTATAGATGATGTTGTCATGGTAGTCGGATCAAGCAGGATTCCAAAGGTTCAACGAACATTACGAGAATTGTTGAATGGAAAGGAACTCTGCAGAGACATCAATCCAGATGAAGCTGTTGCTTACGGCGCGGCAATTCAAGCTGCAATCTTGAATGGGCAAGGGAAAAAGAATAACAAGATTAAAGATCTTGTACTAACGGAGGTAACTCCGTTATCTCTAGGTTTCGAAACCGTGGGAGAAGTAATGAATGTTGCGATATCCAGGAATTCCGCAATTCCGACCAAAGCAACAAGATCAATCACTACTACCACAGATAATGGTTCTTCTTTGAGAGTTAGACTGTTTGAAGGTGAGAGAGCAAGATCAACCGACAACAATTTGTTAGGCGAAATTGTGCTCAACGGAATTCAAATAGCCCCAAGGGGAGTTCCTCAACTGGAGATCACCTTTGATCTACAAGCCAATGGGATTTTACAAGTATCCCAGCGGGATAAAGTCACCGGGAGCAAGGTAAACACCATAATCAAGAGCGGAAGGTTGTCGAAAAACGAGATTGATGGGATGATCATTGAAGCTAACAAGTTTAAGGCCGAGGACGAGGACCACCGGAAGAAACATATTGCATATATGGCCTTTTTGGAGGTCCTCTATCAAATGAGAGATGATGATCTAATCTAAACAACAACCATGGGAGAAAGACTAGTGTTGAAGAAGCAGTGAAGGCAGCCTTTGAATGGTTGGATGAAAAGAAAGAGCTGGCTGAGGTTCATGAATATGAAGAGAAAAAGGAGCAGCTGATGCGCGTATGGAAACCAACAAGTAGCGGCAGCGTGCGGCGGCGGCGCCGGTGGTGGTCTTAGGGATCTTTCCTTTATATTTTATTTCTTCAGTCTCTATAAAAAATCATCCAAGGATTTAGTACCATTCACAAACTGTGTTGTGGATGGGCACATATATCTTACTTGTGATTTTCATTATTTAATAAGAATATAATTTTATCGAGGCCTTTTTCCTCCAAACTTTAATTTAATCTTTCAAAATCAACCTGCACGCAATAGGGATACATTTATGTTTATACATACTTTTGCATTCTGCATTAGCTTCACAAGTCTTCTCTTCTCTATTAAATGATTTCACAAAACAAATGTGGAGTACCATATGCTTGATAATAATCTTGTGGCATCCTACATTGTTACCAATATGATACAGTATCTGGACCCTAATATAAAACTAACCCTTCAGCAATAAAATTTATCATTATCCAAATTAATATCAATTGTAAAAAGAAGATTCAATATAATAGTCTGTGATTTAGTTTTTACATTATTGCACAATCTCTCAATAAAGAACTAAATCAATAACGACAAAATGAACTATTATTAAATTCTGAGGGAGGCAGTAACTAATTGTGGGGGGAGAAAGTGAGGCTGAGACTCAGACCGGAGAAACATTGCTCTATCTCCGAGCATCCTAAGCAATTATGGGCTAGCTATAAAGAGAGCCGACTATACATCTGCATTCATGATCTGTCAAAAACAACAGACTCGAGAGGCCGAAGCCCATCCTGAAGGTAACCTCAATCACATGACATTATTAACTGGAAGCGCCGCTACAAGCAAGTTGGGATTCTAGAAAGATATCACATGACGTAGCCCAAAGATCTTTCGAAAGCTTGGAGTTGTATGAAAGTGCAGAGGATTTGATGGTATTCATGTTTCCTCCAAAGAAATACACTCCGCTTATTTCCTGCAATAGATTCCATTTTTCACTTATCATGTCATAACAAGGTGCAGCGGATTCTTGGAAGACAAATATGCACTTGGGAGAAATTGATACATACGGGTCCGGCAAGAGCTGCATCAAGAATTGATGACACTCCATCTTCGGGTGTCTGCAGCATCCCCAAAACTTTCAAGGTGAGACAAGCAAACCAAGCAATGGAGGGTGGAAGTTCCCGCATTATATTAGTTTCGACAGCACCAGGATCAACAGCACTGCATCACCAGTAGGATTAAGGTAAAACGATTAGAAATGAAGAGTCAACACTGCTGATCTTTAAAGAGAAACAACTCCAAATATTCCCCATTTAATCACCATAAAATCATAGTCATTCATCACTCCGTTGCTTTTACTAAAATGTAACCCCCAACACAAATATTGATTCTATGCTTCTAAAAACAAAATAATGCGGATTGAAATCCATATTTAAACAAGAGAGACACGTACATTACAGAAACCTGATAAGATTTCTCCATCAATCCAAGTTGTCGATGAAGCTCATATGAGAAGAGAAGCAAACAAACTGTCAAATGATGATAGCCAATTTTCAGCTCACCAGGTTGAGAATAATCATATCACTATCACTAACCACTTACATTTTGAGTACTCATAAACGTGAGCAAACGGATAGGATTTTAATCTTGAAAAACACTTGCCAGTGACAGTTTCCTTGTCCACCTTAGCCCCAGAAACTACATTAAAGGCACAACAATCTGACAGTTAGTTGATCTGCACAACCCCAGTGGGAAAAAACACCATACAAAGTAACTAATATGAGAGAAGAATACAGACGTCAATTTTCTAACAATAAGTTGGAGAAAGAGGACATGCACAATTCAACCTCTTGAAATTAGATAGAAACAATAATCCTATCCTACCAGTTCTATGAGTAAAAGATGTGATGTTTATAACACGTGAAGGAACAGGGCTGTTCTCCAGAAGTGGCAGAAGAACTTTGGTGAGGCAAAATGCACCAATGTAATTGGTGGCCATCATCCTGTCAAGGAAACCAATTATTGTCAAAATGGATCTTCTCCTCTCCAAAGTTACAAGAGATGTAGCTACAGAGATAAAAGAAAACATTAAGATAGAGAAAATTTACTACTATTACTGATCATAATTTCGAGGATTGATTCTAGATGATGCTGCTAGAATTCCAGCATTATTTATCAGTAGCTGAATAGAAGGATGCATGTTTGCCTCCAACAACCAACTCTGAAGGGATGCTTTGAACTTCAAGATTGACTCAAAGGATGATACATCAACCACAAAGGCTTTCACTGGAGCAGTAACATTCTGTTTCTTGATATCAGCCAGTGTCTGCAACCAGAGAAGTGGAAAAATATGATGGACATAAAAAGGAGGGAATGCAACATACATATAGCTAGGAAAGATGAATGAAATACAAAAGATGAGCAAACAGTCCATTATGAAAATGTTACCTTAGCCAATGATTCAGATGATCTTCCAACTGCAGTTTGGAAAGAAGTCTGATTCATGTACTTGTTTACAAAGAGGTAAAGGGTTGCAAGTATGCATATTCATAGCAAAAAATAAACATTACGGAAACCGTAATGCAAGATTTCCAGCATAATGCAGAAGTAACAACATTTGATATCAAAAATTCAAAAACAGCACCATTCAGGACAGCAGGATGCCCATAAATATTGCAAAGCATGAATCCAAATACATGAACATTCTAAGTCTACATTTTGCCTTCAGATACTTTTCCTAAATGAAAAATTTTAGATATCAAAACACTAAAGGATGCAGATACCAAAGGGCTATGTCCATAACTGCAGTTCAAAACTTCAAATCAGAATAAGTTGGAAGTGGAAGAAATCTCATTAGATGCCAGAATAACTTCCTTTTCAGGTGCAAGTCTCATCCGCAAAGAACATTAACAATCAACCCAGGTAACTCCAGGTAACATTAACAATAACTTCCTCTTTGTGTAATGCACGTATCATACACGTTTATAATCAACAACGGAAGAAGGTAACTCCAGAGATTACCTAAAACCATGGAAAACCCTTGCATTGACAAAGCCTTGGCAGCTGCAGCACCCAAACCAGATGTTGCCTGACAAATTTTATAACCAATAAAAAAGAACAATAAGAAACTATTTACTGAAACACTAAAGAAAACAAACTTTCATCAACAACAAATGATGGTGTTGAGCGCATAATAAAGTAATATAAGAATCAATAAAATCAACTCAATCCAGTCCAAATGAATAAACACAGTCTGAACAATAACTTGAACCAAAAATATAAAATCAACAGAGAATAATTTAAATATCGGGAAAAAAAGCATTAGGGTTTGCTTACACCGGTGATCACGCAGACGGGCCTTCTGGAATCATTCACCGCGGGAGGAATTGAAACTGATTCTGGAGGATGAAACGAAGGAGAAGAACGGCGAAAACTTGTGGAATTTTTCTCGGATAAAAACCTTTGTAAGAACAATTGCAAGTAGGAAGAGATGAGAGAAAAAGTCCAGAAAATGGACATCCTCCAGAAATTCCAAGTGCAGACGAAACGACAGACCTCCCGCCACTCCTTAGCTTCCATCTTCCTCTCGTCAGTCGTCAAACAAAGTACGAAAATAATTTCCCCTTTGAAGAACGAAAAGGATTATTATTACACTGAAATCAGTAAAAAAAAAAATGCCGGATAAAAATAGGGGGCTTTTCCCAAAAAAAATTAAATAAAATAAACGTGGACAAATTTAAATTTTTCAGAATATTTGTGGACAGAAATATATTGCTCGAATTTCTGAAATCCGAGTTTTGATTAATATTAGAGATTCGGATTTTGCAAATCCGGATTCATACTTAATAATAAAATAATAATTTCATAAATTTCGTTGAAAAATAGTTTTTTTAGTTCTTAAATGAACAGTAACGCTCGGATTTGTAACATCCGAGTTTAGTTAAAAATTAATAAATCGCGGCGCAAAATTTTTGAATCCAAAAAACCGGAAGTCCGTAATCCGGTTTGACGAATTCGGATTTGCGAAATCCGGATGCCTTTAATTTTGGTTGGTGGAAGTAGGCATGTGCCTTAAATTGGAGGACCAAAAAATTAATAAAATAATCCTGAATTGACTAAATTCGGATTTCAGTTGACTAAATTCGGATTTATGAAATCCGAATCTAACATAGTTCAAATTTCGAAAATCCGAGTTACTTACGGACTCGGATTTCGTAAATCCGAGTTTAACGTGCTATAAAAGAAAAAAAATTTCAGGCAGTTCTCATTCGAGAACTGAGTTGGATTTTCTGTTTTTGCAGCTCAAACAAGGGCGAATTGAAGTTTTTGATGCATTCTTGCCTCTAGATACGTGGAAATCGTTATTTGAAAGAGGTTAGATTGCAAAACCATGTTATTTAGTTTATTTTTGTGTTATTTTGATTGTTAGAATGATGTATGATAGATTAGGGTTTATGTTGGTTGGTTGTTTGGATGTTTTAGGTGTTGATTTTGAGATTAGAGATGAGAAATCATAGTTGTTCATGAGATATCGAAATTGATTTATAAGTATTTTAGTATGGTGTATTTGTTGGAGTATGTAAGGTGTATGGTGTATGGTGTATTTTAGAGAATGTATGGTGTATTTTGTTGATTTTGTTATTAAGAAATGATTAGTTATTGATGTTTTTTTTAACAGTTATCAATGGCACGTAATGTATCATACATGCTTAATTTGTATCATACAAGTAAGTATGTGATAGAGAACGGTAGCATCAACACTTTTCGAATATGCCGGATGATGGTTTGTTTGTCGAAGAAAGGTTGTCATATGAGGGATTGATTAGTAAGATTTGTATGACCCTTGGTTGGGATCCAAGACACGTGAAACTCCACCTTTCTTTGATTTTCGATAGTCCCGTGGTAGGCGTGTAGTGAAGATCAAGAATGATTCGCATGTAGAGTTCATGAACCGTGTAGATCCAATGTCATGTTTGGATTTATACATAGATTTGGAAGATATCACTCAAGAAGAAGAGAAGCGAGTTTGGAAAACGTGTCATTTGGTGATTTTCGAAGGGGGAACGTGCTAGTACTTCTCGAAACCGTGATGAAGAGGAGACACCTTTATTTGCACAAAATGACTACGGGAAGAGTCGGATTCCGACTACATAGCTCCAAGTGAAAGCGAAGAAGACGTGATGTCTCCTGAGAGAGTGATTTTGAAGAAAGTGATGATGAAAGGTTGAAAAATGAGGAAAGGGATTGTAATCTATTCGCCCGACGCCATGTATATAGTAAGATGGGAACTGGGATGCCTCATGTGTAGACAAGGATGAGTTTGCTCTTAAGATGTGGGATGAGACGCCCGAAGGAATGGACATTGGTGTTTGTTTCAAATCTCAATCAAGCAAAGCATGTTGTGAAATTATGGAATATCCATCATAAAAGGGAACATACGGTCGCGAGTAGTCCAAGGACGTGGTCAGGCTGTGCGTAACATTTAATGTGGAAAGTGAGGATGGTGAACCACCATGTGAGTGGAAGATGCGTGTGTCATTGAAAGCTCACGGCCTTCATGAAATTGTGAGATGGCATGATGCACACAATTGCATGACTCCGTGAATGATAATGACAATCGGTGTGTGGACGCGTCTTTGATTGCTAGACTCATCAGAGAAAGGTTGAGGACAACGTAGATTATACGGTAGCCTCGGCACGTAAAGATGTGAAGACCTTATTGAAAGTAGATGTGCCATACAAAAGGGCGTGGCACGGGAGGAGGAAAGCCATAGAAGCGGTCTATGGTGATTGGACCTCCAATTTCGAAGAACTTCCACGGTAAATATCAACTTTTATCCGTGTATTGAAATATTTATAGTATTTTTATTTTTACATGTATTGAAATATTTTAACAATGACTTGTTGTTGTTTAGGTATATCGATGCGCTTAAGTTTACTAATCCTGAGACTGTAGTAGAGTGGGAATGGAAGGAGGGACAAGAAAGTTGGAACAGGGGAAACCGGACATTTAAATACGTCTTCTGGTCATTTGCACCGGGTGGCTGAGACGTTTTTTTGAATGTCCACCGGTCATTTGTATCGATGGAACCTTTTTGCGTGGTGGATACAAGGGTAAATTGCTTGTTGCGGTGGTGTATACCGCAAACAAGCACATTGTTGATGAGGAGACAGTAGAGAGTTGGACATTTTTTATGAGGAATTTGAGGTTGTGGGTTGTGTATGATAGAATCGTAAGTGTGATATCCGACCGGAATGCAGGGTTGTTGAGCGCAATGTCACAGATGGATGAATGGCGTGATTTAGGTGATGGTGGGCACTTTCTTTGCCTCCGCCATGTTCGCAGCAATCTTGTGTCGCCATATAATAGCAAAAAGGTGAAGCAGTTATGTTGGAAGATGGGCACGACGCTTTGAAGAGTGAAATACAACCGTATGAGGGCAGAGCTTATTGAATTCAAACCTGTTGCATGGGAGTATCTTCGAGGGATTGGGGGGAGTAACTGGGCTCGATTGAAAGCCGGTCTTCGCCGTTGGGGCATAGCGACAACCAACATTTCTGAGAGTTACAACAATGCGTTGAAAGAGATCCGTTTTTTACCAATTAGAGCCTTGATCGATGCAACCTTTCGCAAAACTGTTAAATTCTATAGAGAAGAACAATTGTCTGCGAGAAATTGCATGACACCGATCCCTCCTGAGTTATGGAAAAAATACGAGAAAATGAATGATAAAGCAGCCAGTTTTGAAGCCACCCCTTTCGATGGTGATGATGCTATGTGGCGAGTTGAAATTTGAGGGAAATAGGAAAGACTCGGATTTAGCAAATCCGAGTTTGACGGGACTATATATTGTTCGGTCAACTCTTCCCTTCCCATTTTTCCCCAATTCCAGAATTAACAAAACCCTACAACTAAACTCCAATTAAACAAAAATCCGGCGACTCCCACCACTCAATCCGGCGACTCCCTCCACTCCCTCCGTGATTTCCGGCGTCTCTCCTCCATTCCGGGCGACTCAATTTCCAGAATCCGGCGTCTCTCCTCCCTCTGGACAATCCGGCGTCTCTCCTCCCCTCTGGATAATCCGGCGAGGTTCCTTGCAATCCGGCGACTCCCTCCGACTATCTCCACCTCTGGCGACTTCCTCCACTCCTCCCGACTTCCTCCATTCCTCACTGTAAGTTATTGATTCGCGATCCTCTCTTTATTTTTTTTTGTCAAAATTTTTTTTTTCTTTGTGAAATCCGAGTCCTTTTTTTTTTTTGAATTGTGGTTGGTTTGTGTTGATATAGTGTTTGTGTTGAATTTAAGTTGTGTCTATTGTGAATTACTTATAGATGTGGTGTTGATATAGTGTTTGTGTTGGATTATCGTTGTGTAAATAGTGAATTATGAATGTATATAGTAGTTTGGTAGTTTTGTTTATTTGTTTGTTTATGGTTTGGTTGATTTGTTTGTTTTGGCCGAGTGTACATCGTTTGGTAGTTTTGTTATTTGGCCGAATGTATATAGTTTGGTAGTATTGTTTATTTGGCCGAATGTTTATGGTTTGGTTGATTTATTTTTTTTTGGTTACCTTGTGTAGGATTGAAATGGCGACGCCGGCATCGGGCTCCCAATATGACTATCAACCTAAACATCTTCACCCGGGACCTATACAAGATAAAATGCTATATCGTCAAACAAAGCATAAGTCCCAAGTCAGTCTATGAGAACAGGATACGGACATTAAGACATTCCGCCTCAAGGGCCGTAGGTACGACAGCGATTTTGGGCGATAAAAATACGGCCCAGAGGTTAAGGAAGTCATTAGGAGAGCCGGTTTTGAGGGGATCATGAAAGTAGGGTACAAAGAGTTGATCTAGGCCTCATTACCGCGTGGTGGAACGGTGGAGGCCGAAACCCACACTTTCCATTTTAATTTCGGAGAGGCAACGGTGACGCTACAGGACGTCGAGGTCCCGTTTGGTATTCGGTGGATGGTGACCGGTGTACGGCACGACGCTTAGCTTGACTGCAGCGAATGGAGGGATCGATGTGAGGCTTATTTGGGATTCCGCCGGCGATCGTAAATGGCCAATGTGTCAATGCTGGTATTTTCAAGATGAGATGGGCGTGCACTACCTTCAAATTCCACTGTCCATCGATTCGAGCAAAGGGCCAGGACACTTATACTGCATTTTATTAGCAGCTTTCATGTTTCGAACAAGACGCAGAACACCGTCAATCTACGCTTCTTGGCCCAGTTGAGGATTTGGATCGGTGTAGTCGATACATTGGGGATCGGCACCGCTTGCCGGGTTGTACTGCCTATGCGAGGCATCACAAGATACCATGCACGACGCCACCGGTGTCTATATTTGCTACAGTACGTATTAGTTTTCATTTTGTGCTTTAATTATTTTGCGCTTTCGACGTTATAATTTGAAGTTTCTACTTTATTATTGCAATTTACTAGGTATGGGCGTATGAGCGGATCGAGATGATCGCGCCCCAAAGAAAAGGAGTAGATTATTTGCTTGATGAGACCGCTCCATTAGCTCACGGTACGTATTTTCAGTTCAAAATAACTCAACGTTTAATTCTATTTGTTTCTTATTCATTTATTTCACTAATTCAAAT